TCACTTTGCCTGTTCATCCATGTTGTAGTATCATTACTTTATTCCTTTTTTCTTGAATAATATTCCATTGTATATGCTATTCTCATTTTTATTACTATAAAAACCCATTATTATCCATTCATTGGCTGATAGAAATTTGGGTTGTTTCCACTTTTGGTCTATTATGAATAATGCTGTTGCAAACATACTTGTACAGGTTTTTTGTGGATGTACATTTTCATTAGTCTAAGAGGGGAAGTGTTGGGTCATATAGTAACAGGTTAATATACTGAGGAGCTTCTAAACTGCTTCCTAGAGTGGCTGCAACAGTCTCCTGTAGTGGATGAGGTTCCATATGCTGCACGTCTCACCAGCACTAGCTCTTAATGTTTTGAGTTTTGTTTTCCTAATGTGTGTGGAGAGGTGTTTCATTGTGGTTTTGATTTTCCATATGACCAATGATGTTGCACATCTTTTCAAGTATTTATTGGCTATTTATGCTGTTTCTTCTTTGAAGAAATATTTGTTCAGATCCCTTGCTCATTTTTAATTGGGTTGTCTTTTTGTTAGTTTTAAGAATTGGGTTTGGATTTTTATTTTTTTAATACAATTGTCAGATATTTCAAATATTTTCTTCCATTCTGTTGGTTATTTTTTCACTTTCTCTTTTTGGTACTGTGGGTTAAATCCAGAGCTGATTTACCACTGAGCTAGGACTCCAGTCCTTTTAAATTTTGAGACGGGGTCTCGCTAGGTTGCTAAGACTGGCCTCGAACTTTCAATCCTCCTGCCTCAGGGTCGACGTCAAAGGAGTGAGCCACTATGCCTGGCTATTCATTTTCTTGATGATGATCTTTGATGCACAAGTTTTTAATTTTGATGAAACCCAAGTTTATTTTGTTTTTGATGCTTTTGGTGAAGTAACTAAAAAAGCATTGCCAAACTCAAGTTGTACTCCTGTTTTCTCCTAGAAGTTTCAGCTTCTCTGTGTAGATCTGGGATGCACTTTTGAGTTCATTTTGTGTTGTGTGATGGGTGTCCAGTTGTTCCAGCACGACTTATTGAAAAGGCACTAGTGTTTTCATGTGAACTTTTTATTTGTTTCAGCACGCTCTGGTGGAGTGCTGTAGTGAACCTCTAGCGTCAGGAACTGCCATCATTCTGCCATTCTGTTTTTCATCTCCTGTATCCCCCAGATCTCCCCACCCTTATTTTAAATAAAAACCCATTGTTTAAAAACAATCTTCCTCATAATTCCAATGTCAACTAAGGTTGAATCACTGTTGAAGAGGATCTTCAAAATTTTGTTCCATTTGTTGACATGTTTACTTGTTTAAAAAGATTAAATATTTAATGCTTAAATCTCAGCCAAGGATTCTGATCTTCTGTCCTAAAAATTACATATTGCCTTTTTTGGCTATTAGCCTTTTTCTTTAAATACGGGAGTCAAGTCATTGCCTTAATCACAATTTCTCATCAGCGTGTCGTCCATTATGTACAACCCATCAATGCTATACTCTTCCCATTTGATTAATTTGTATTTCTTTAGAGAATCAACCTTGCCATCTTATTTGTCACGTCTTACATTCTGCTCCACTGCCTGACTAAGGGTTTTGTCTTCTAGGTATATCCCCACTGCAGCTGCATTTGGTGGCTTGTGCATTGGCGCCCTGTCGGTGTTAGCTGACTTCCTTGGGGCCATTGGATCTGGCACTGGAATTCTACTTGCAGTCACAATTATTTATCAGTATTTTGAAATATTTGTTAAGGAACAGGCTGAAGTTGGTGGGATGGGTGCTTTGTTTTTCTAAATGTTCAAATATTTCTTTTTGTGTGTGTGAAAGGGAAAACATTTTGACACGTTGTTTTTGTCAAATAATGCTGGTTCCCCTTTTCCCCCCTCAGTTTCTTGTTTTCAAGTGCTAATAGTCCCATTTCTGAAATGGGCACAGAGCTAAGCCTGTGTGCAGCATTAGTACCAGCTGCCTTAAAACTGAAGTTTACATTATTCGTTAAAAAGTGTACATCTAGTGTTGCCTGTAATGCTGGAAACCAATGCATCTACCTTGCTGTGTCAAATCATGACAGTGAGATGGTGACATGGATTAGTTTTGCACACAACATTCAAAACACTTAATATTCCCCCCTTGTTTAAAAATAAATGTAGTTCAAATTGCCACTTTCCAGTATTTTTGAGCTTATCTGATGAGTTCTGGAACATTTATATCTAATCTATATTTTAGATAATTACTTTTTATACTTTTTTAATTCATAGTATCCATGTTCCTTCCCTCCTCCCTCTCCATCCCTATCCCCATCTTTTATTTGTTCCTTACCAAAGCAGCCACTTAGCCCACATGAGCAAAATCAAGCATTGACAGTATTTCTGTTGCCAGAAACAATTGCTTCTGATTACTCTTCCTGTTTTTCATTCCTCCTTTCCTCCCAGGGACAGCATATACTGTGCTGTTTGACTGTATTGGCTATGCCTTCTAATTCCAGCCAGTCACTTGAGAATACTCTTTCAAGATGATATGCCCCAATTCTTTTCTTTTTTTTTAAATCCCTAAAGCAAAGATCTAATTCTCAAGCAAAGTCTGTAGTTCAGTGGGGGTGAACAATGAGTAATTCATGCTAGGAATTTAAGTCTGTTGTTGTACTTATAGCAGCAACATGAGTGTAAACAGTAGACAATAAACTTTTATTTAATAAAACTGTTTCAGTTGTGTTGGAAAAATAAAGGAATCTGATTTTCAGTGTTCTCCAAGATTATTTGTATAGGTTCACTGTATTTACATCAAGCCCATTCTGAGATGCCTGTTGAAAGAGGACAAATGTAATATACACTTTAATGTTTAATCTGAAATTATTGTGTCTCTTTTTGAATTTGTAGTTCTTTATAAATCACTTTATATATATTTTAGTTGTAGTTGGTTGGACACAATACCTTTATTTATTTTTATATGGTGCTGAGGATTGAACCCAGTGCCTTGCACCTGCTAGGTGAGTGCTCTACTGCTGAGCCACAATCCAGGCCCTGTTAAATCACTTTTTAAGTTCAGGCAACTAAAACAGTGCTGACCAGCAAAAACACCCAGACTGCAGTATTCAAACTCTGACTTAATCTCCAAGGCACAACCTTTTGATGTTCACAGATAATGTGAACAGCACTAGGGATGGTTCTAGGAGTTAGCTGTTGCTTCTAAGTGACTCTTGGGAAGAAAGAAAGGCCAGATAGAGGTTACAAGCCTCACTTCTTAAATATCACTCCTATAGGAGTGGCTTTGGAAGAATTGTTCTGTGCTGGAGTCTATCTCTGCCTTGTCTCTTCTTGATTTCAAAGGAGGAGAGTAATTTTGGAAATGATAGGAAACGTCCTTTGGAGAATCATGATACCCATGATTTTAAAAAAGATTTTAACTAAAGAGGCATAGGAAAAAGTTACTGTTGTAGCAAGGAGATGGAGCTAAGTCTTCACACTTAGAAGGACAGTAAACTTGATTTATAAAATTCTAGAGTCCTGTAATTCTGTCCATCCTTCAGTCTAGATAAAGATATGTATGAGGGCTGGGGCTGTATTCAGTGGTAGAGTGCTTGCCTCACATGCGTGAGGCACTGGGTTTGATTCTCTGCACCACATTAAAAAAATAAAGATGTTGTGTCCATCTACAACTAAAAGAAGGACATGTATGAGCAGCTTTTATATATATCTTAGTTGTAGTTGGATATTTATATTTATTTATGTATGTGGGGCTGAGGATTTTACCCAGTGCCTAGCAGGTGCTAGACAAGGGGCCTACCTTTATCCCTAGATCCAGTTAATTCATAGTATCCATGTTCCTTCCCCGCTTCCTCTCCATCAGGAGATGGTACTGGGGGTTGAACACGGGTGCTTTATCACTGAGCTATATCTCCTGCCCATTTTTTGTTTTGAGACAGGATCTCTCTCAAATTGCTTAGGGTCTTGCTAAATTGTTGTGTCTGGCCTTGCAACTTAGAGTCCTCCTGCCTCAACCTACCAAACCCTGGGATTACAAGGATGCATCACTATGCCTGGCCTCATCCTGACTTCTTTGAGAGGCCAAACTGAAAAGACAATTATGCTGGAGCTGTTGGAAGCTGAAAAATTAAATGGCCCTGGAACATTGGTAGAACTCTTAGGTGTTGGACTTCAGGCATGGCATGCACCAGTTATTCCCACGTTTCCCTTCAGTTTGGGCTTCAAGTATTAGCTAATCTTACTGCCTATACTTCTGGTTTGACATCATGATATTAGTGCCCCAAACCATGTCAATCTTATTATGGATCTGTTTTTTTTTTTTTTGTAGTTCTAGATGGATACAATACCTTTATTTTTCTGTGGTGCTGAGGATCGAACCCAGGGCCTCACACATGCTAGGCAAGCACTCTAACACTAAGCCATAACCCCAGCCCTATGGATCTGTTTTCACAAGTATATTCTGAGATAAATATAGGAAATCAGATCGAAAGTATAGTGTACATGCTTAATGAAGGGCCATGGATTTTCACTAGTCTCTTCGCCTGGTATATTGAGTAGAATCAATCATTTTTCATTATCTAAAAGCTGGGTCACCTTCAGTAATTGGATGGTTATCAAGTCACCATATACTGTTTATCACAAATGTTATTCTCTATTGATTTTACATACTGTATTGCCCAGTTGGATTTCATATAACAATTCAATTAGGAGAGGCCAAAATAGTCCTATATAGGTCTCTTTCTTCAAAACTAAAAACACTAATGCAGAAAACAGGTATATACATACCCAGCAACAGAATTTTTATTTTAGATGTTGAGGGTGGAAAGATTTGCCCCAATTTGGAACTCAAGTTTGTTTTCCTATCCTACCTTTTAGATTAGGTTAAAAAAGTAGTAGTTGGGTTTAAAGAAATAAAACTTGTAGTAAAGACACCTGCATTTGTTTGTTTCCATTAATATTAGCTAGATTTTAAATTTTAAAGGTTGTAGCCTACCTGTAATTACAGTTCCATACCACCACATGCATTTTGTGCTGCTTTTATTTTATGAAAAAACTAATTTCAAATCTACATTAAACTAAGTTGAATACAAAGTCTTTGTGAAGAAGACCTAGTAGTCTCATTTACAAAAACAGGGCCAGTGTCCTCTTTGGCCTTAAAATTTCAGGAAGGGCACTTCAAATGGCTTCGTGTTTGCATGTTTCAGCGCCAGAGCATATGAGTAGACTCTGGCATCCACTGTAAGATGTTCTTCAGCTACTAGAGCTGCAGGAAGCAAAAAATATAACTTAGAAAATGCACTTAACAATGGATAACACTTTCAATATTTACTGTACAACTAGTATTTGCCTGTTCATAGGCTAGATGCTCGTAATAATATTTTCTATCTTCAGAGATCCCACTCCAAAGGAAGAATGAAGGACAGAAAAGTAGGATCCCATTCCCAGCACAAGATAGAACACCAAGGATAATGATTTTACATGTTAAGACAGCAAAGCTGTAAGTTCACAGATCCAATGGTTATACTTCATTTACAGCTCTGGGTTTACTCTTCTGAAACTCCAAGGTGATGATTCTCCCATCACCGGAGGGTGCACATTTCCCCTTGGCAGGCTGAAATATGTGCATGTTAGGCCTGGAAGAATACTACCAAGAATGTGTTCTCAGAATTATAATAGGCCTTAGTGGGAACTTGTTTTTCACTCCAATGGAGGATGTCAGACTTTGAACGTGTAGTTTGCCTAGCCATTTGTTTGGGAACAATCTCAAAGATAATTTGATCCTTGAAGGCAGGGATCATGTCCTGCTCACTTATGTATGGCAGATGCTCAATAAGTGTTGAATGCTATTCTTTGTGGCAAACTGATCTTAAAATACCTTCCTTACACCTTCTCAAATGTCCCTTGTTGAATACATTACTTGATTACTATATCTACTAAGGTTAGGCAAACTGGTTCTTTCATCTTTTTCTCTCTTCCTCCCTTTCCTCCTCCTTCTCTTGCTCTATTTTCCCCCTCTTCTAAGATCAGAAACAAAGGCAAATTAGGTGGGAGACAGGGCATAGAAAGACATTTTTTAAAGAGGATATTCTCTTAATGGAAGAAAGAATAAAAACTGATGGTGTGTAGCACTTAAGCACTTGGATGCCAAGTGCTTTGCCTACATTGTCCCATTTAATTTTATCCATGCCTCCTCAGAGGTAGAGTTTAGAGATCAAGACTTGTTTGAAGTCATAAATAATCAGCTGAGCCTCAAATCAAGTCAGGAATGTGCAACTATGAGCTGTATTGCCTCTTTATTTAGTTAAACTGAGGATTGAACCCAGTGGTGCTTTACCTCTGAGTTGCATCTGCAGCCCTTTTTATTTTGTAGTTTGCTTAGGGCCTTCCTAAGTTGGTATGGCTGGCCTTGAACTTGCAATCCTCCTGTCTCAACCTTCCTAATTGCAGGTATTATAGGCATGAGCCACCATTCCCCTCTGTATTATATATTAGCCACTGACATGGCTTTCTCAGAATGGTATCTCTCTTTAATATGCTATGATTATTTTGAAGTCTGTTTTTAAGATCTTGAGGTGGTTTCTACTTTAGGTCTAGTATTTTAAAAGGTAAAGTAGGGACAGAGGCTGAGAGTCTGAATTCACAGTAGCTTTTGAAAGATACCCACTTTACCTTTCAAACCAGTAACAGACATTTCAGAGTGATCTGCTTTGAAGTGAAATTGTAAGCCACTTGTAGTCATGGAAGGAAGAGACACTCTAAAAAGCTTCTGAGCAAATAATGCTTCAAGTTAATGTGTGAAATAATTACTTAAAAATTGTAGAAAAAATAGGTATCAATTTCCTGAACTATAACCAATAAAATATTTAAATTTTGAAAAGGCTCTCCTTTGTAAATGAGCAGAAATCTACCCAGCCGGCACAGAGTACTCCTGGAACAGCCCTTGTCATGTCTGCATTAGCAGTATCGCCTGAGGCAGTTATATGAAGGACATCTTTCCACATAACAGAATTTTTACAAAATCCCTGTAAGATGGACTGGCCAAGAGTTACAGAATGGAACTACATGACCAGTGATTTAAAAAGGGTCACACAGCTAGTTAGTTTGGTTCATTATATCAGTTTATCATGGTATACAGTAGATACTACAAATATTTGTTGAAGAAATATTGTTAAATTCTCCTTTAACTTACATCCTGCACAAAGAACCATCCAAGACACAGTTGAGGGAAAACTAAGGCATATCCATTTACGCCTTTGCACTACTATGGAATAAAGATTGAACAGAATAGTTTTGGCTAGTTTTGAACAGGAATATAATCTTAAAACAATTTTGTAGGGGAACAAAGGCCCCTACTAAAGGCTTTCACTTGAATATAGAATGTTTTGCTTATATTCTAAAATTCCATGCCAGCTGGAAAAAAAATTACTATATGTCAATGGCAGTTTTCACAATGGTTTCTAGGTATTGGACATTAAGATAAAGAAATGGGAGTTACTTTTAATACTCATTTGCTAGCGATGGGGCCAAGGAAAATAGAGAAAGTTGGGTAATAATCTTAAGGATGCTTACCATCAAGTCTATTCAGCAGGTCGTTCTTTGGTAAAGAAATTACTTCCACAAATTCTAAATAAACAAAGTTCAAATGAAAACAGAGCTAAATAACAAGAGCCCACCAAAACAACCCAAAATGACTGTAGCGTCATCACTATACTAAGCCATACAAGTGGTCAGCAACTGGAAGTCGAATAACATACCTCCATCCCCTGAAAATAAACAACAGAAGGAGAACATTTTAGCAAGACTGCAAGGGTAATACCTTGGAAAACTTTTAATAATGTAAGACATATCAAAATGGCTATTTAACAGAGACCTGATTCTCTACCAACTTTAGTTATCTCATGACAAAACAAGTTCCAATAGTACAAAGTTATTATTCTCTAAATCAAGGGCTTAATAAGAAAATTTAAAAGCATATTCTATAATGTACATATGTAGATGTAATATCTGTATACTGTGGTAAAATATACATAAAATTTACCTTTCTGGCCATTTTTTTTTTTTAAGGGCATGATAGTTTATTTTAAAAAATTGTACCACACTAATGATGACCACCAGCATACATATGATAATGGATTTTCTCTTGGGTATCAACATTGCACTGCAGTATTTTTGTATACTGAAATGTTTCACTAGGACCAAGAATGTTAAGAGAATAAAGATCTTAGATGAAAATGGACACTAATAACTTTGGTGTTCTAACCCACAGAATTAATTTAACCCCCTATGAATCAGTGATGTAATGTTCAGAACTATCTATCACCCCAAACAGGAACTTGGAACCCATTAAAAAATAATGGATAATTATTGTAATCTCTATTTTCTGTGTCTATTAATTTGTTTGTTCTGGGTACTTCATAGAAGTAGAATCAAATAATATTTGTTTTTTTTGTGTTGCGCCCATTTCACCTAGCACAATGTTTCTAAGGTTCATACATGTTGTAGCATACCACACCAAGTTTTTTTTATGATAGCTGAATATTCCCCTGTGTGCAGAGACTACATTTTGTTTATCCATTCATCTGCTGATGGACATTAGGTGGTTTCCACTTTTGGCTACTGTGAATGATGCTGCAGTGAACGTGGATGTACAAGTATACGAGTCTCTGCTTTCAATTCTTTTAGGAATGGAAATGCTAGATCTCATAGTAATTCTATATCTAATTTTTTGAGGAATTGCCAGACTGTTTTCCATAGCATGTTATATTTGCAATTTAAATACTAAGCATTTAAAATTAGTTGCAATTAAACACTGAAGCAGGAATAACTAAAAAGGGTAAGAAATTATAAAAATTCCCATTCATACATGATTTACTGTGGTATGTATATAAATACTCCCTTTAAGAGGTGGAAGAGAGGACATGGAATTGAAAGCTTGACCCCAAACTTGATAAATATTTTAGAACAAAGAATATCCTAACACATTCTCTAAATATAAAACTCATAAGGAATAGTTGATAAACATCTGCCCCTTAACAATACTTGTCATTCTTACAATATACGGGAATACAGAAATCAAGGTGGTGTTGAAGTTTCTCACTTTATATTTGGGCCTGTAGCTCCTTTTACTAAGTGGGAATAAACTTCATATAAAAAATATAGAAATGTGTAATTTAACATTTTAAATAAAGAATAAAAATCAATCAAATGAAAGAAAAATGCTAAACTACCCAAATTAGGAAAACAGACGAGAATACTAAAGTACCTCTAAAAGACTATGATGCTTTGAATGGAAGATTATGATTCATTTAACAAAAGAATTTAACAAATTAAAAGGATACTTAATGCAATTCAGCCTCCTTCAGCATAGCCAACACACACTTACCTGGCTTTGGCTTAGGTCTTACATTTTCTGCATCATCTCCATTGATGGTTACTGTCACGATGTGTGTGGTACAGTTTGACAAACCAGGATCCATACATACAACTATGGAGAGCAGTGACAACTCATCTTAAGAAACCAGTCAGATGCTTTAGTCCCTTTTCTCATTTGTCTTACTACTTAAATATCCTAAGAAGACAGGCTGGGGATTCATAGTTACAGAATTGATAAAGCAATATTACAGTTATATATTCAGTCAGTACATGCTACGGGACTGCAGAGTATATGTATACTAATATATTTCACACACATTTCTCCCATTTTCCTCAGAGTTACTGAGTCAGGTTTGGTTAAGTCTGAGGTATTAGGTGGAACTGCCTAGTTACAAGAAAAAAGGATACTTCTAGTGAGGAGTGTGGCACATGGATGAGGTGAGAAAGTACTAAAGGTTAGAATGGGGGAAATTCTGAAAGGCATCTAACTTTCATGATTCTCCTCCAAGTTCAGGTCCTTCTTGTTTCTACCTGCTTTCCTGAGGAGACCAATTATAACCTATTCTCTTCAGTGAATTAGTTGAAATAACAGTCACTTGCATTCTGAGTATAAAGAACATCCAAATAACTGATCCCTTTATACAGAGGAATCTAGTGATTTTCAAGATACTGTCCAAAGTGCACACCTGGCAAGCAGTACAAACCTGGAGAACATTCAGCAACGTCGCCCTTATAGCCAGTTTCTTCCTCCAGTTCCCGAAGAGCAGCAGCTTCTGGGCTTTCATTGTCATCTATGAGACCTGGAAGTCCAGATCACTTATAAGATGGGATAGGGGAATTCAATTTCTTTGCAACTTTTCATTCTTCTAGCATAGCTCAGTTGTTAGATGAGTCAGAGGACCATGTAAAGTGGTTTTAAAGATAAAGCTGACTGGAATTTAGAACTTAAAAGAATACATTCCTCTTATTTAGATCTGGATTTTTTTCATGACGATGATATATCAACAGTCTTTTTGTAAAGCACAGTGTTTCTAAGGAAAAGTGACTTGGTTGGTGGCTAAATGGCTACTTTTGGGAGTCAACTATGTGACATAGCACAAAAAGCAGCTTTATCTATCTTGCCTTTCTGTCCCACAGAAAAATACTGAGGTCTTATAATTAAATGCCAGAAAGGAGTAAACTGAAGGCTTGTGGACTTCAGATGACCATTATGGTTATTGTGAGAAGCAAATAGGACAAGTGGGAGGAGAGTGGCAATTCAGATTCTTTTGCTTGAATGGAATAAAACAATGTAAAGAAAAAGTGAACTGCAGGTTACTCAGTTACTTTGAATCTTATTAATTTCTTTAGTAAAATGGCAAGTAAATGAGAAATGAAATAGCTCTCACTGTATGTTACCATGAACTGGGCTTTTTCTTCTTCTTCTTCTTTTTTTTTTTTTTTGGTGGTGGTTATGAAGATTGAGCCCAGAGCCTCATGCATGCTCAGTATGCACTTCACCACTAAGTACACTCCAAAACACAACACTTGCACCATTAATGACAAGTAAATAAGAGTTCATCTTTTTAGACAGGGATAATCCAATAAAGTCCTATAATAATATAATGCACTAAATTTTGGATTGCTTTAATTACTGTATAACTGAAAAAATATTGAAATTAAGAAAATTTCCTTCTCCTGTTTATAGATGGTAGATCAAATTGTCTTTTTCATTTATGGTTTTTTGGAGTTCAGTCTGATCTGCTTATTACTAAATTTCTTATCAGGAGCAGATTGCTAGTGACAGGAAATGAAATAAGTTGACAAAGTAAGGAACAGTAATTACTTAAAGAGAGACTGGAGAGAGACACTGCAGAGAGGTGGATGGGATGGCATGGAAAGGTGGGCCATAGCACCCTGCCTCACATCATCTTCTTGGATTCAGTGGATCACTGGAGTACGGCTGGTGGCCTGGTAGAGCCTCCCAACAGAAATGGTTCTGTTTTACTTAAAACCACATGGACAGATGAAAAGGTGTTAAAGATCTAAGCACTGCAGTTCTCAGGCACTGCCCTGCTCAACAGTCCCTGAGAAGGAACATGATGTTTGTTCCTTCTCAGCTACTCACCTGCTGGGAACTCTAGGCAATAGCCGCCCATTGGTGGTCGGAACTGTTTAACCAGAACAATACACTCATAATGAAGAGTTCTCTGGAGCACTGGGATGACTGCTACACCTGTCACCAGGAAATGAAAGCAAGGTAATCTCTAAGAAAGGTTAGCCTAGACCAGCAATTTGCTCAGAGCAATCCAACTAAAGCCCCAGACTTCTGCATCCAGAATCTACTCTGAATTTCCCAGTAAGCAATAAGAAATTAACTTAAATCTTTAGTGTTGGCAGTTAACATTGGAACTCTCATTTAAAACTGTAACTAAAAAATAATCAGGTTTCTGTGCTTGATTTTTTAAATAAAAAGCTCATTTTAACTGTCACTTTTTTTGAGAGAGAGAGAAGGCCTACCTATGTTGCCTGTTACCCAGGTTGGCCTCGAATTCCTGATCCTCCTGCCTGGGCTTATAGGTGGATGTCACCATGCCCACCTCACTTTCTTAACAAATAAAACCAAACTGAAACCAAGTATTTCACATAGCATCAAGGACATGAAGCTTCAGTCTACACGGACCTCTAGGCAGAACCTTCACTCACTGTGCAGCAGCTGGACCACTGTGAGTTAGTGATCTCCGTGCTCCTGCAATTCCATTAAGCAAGAAACCAAGTAAATTCCACTGCTTCTAGTGTATGCTAACTAGACTGGTTATATAACAGAGTAAAAGGTCTTTCCTCCCAAGTAACTTGGCCTTAATCAAAACAAAACTAAAAAACAAAAAGCCCCTGGGTTCTGGAAAATACGAACCACCTGGCAGGAGGACTTGGCTCCTTTTAAATGCTTTTGCTTCAGGTAAGAACAAGAGTTGCAGCAAAACTACTCAGCTTATAGTAAAAATAGACATCAGAAAAATAAAAAGGAAAAATAAGAAAAGACCTACTTCCCCAATGCCAGAAATAATTTTCAGGATTGTTTCTGAGGTCTTTGCAGTCAAATCACTCATGAAAGGAGAGGAAAGGTGAACTGAAAAAACAGTCTTTTCCCAATTCACATTAACTTATAAAGCAAGGGGCTGATAGGCAAGAAGCTGTGCCAAATCATTTTACCAAGCTGAGGGCTCTCACCTGGATCTTTGAACAGCAAATATAGACACAAAGGGTGGCTTTAAGATTTATATTTGGCTATAAAAATATGTACACCTCACCTAAAAAATACCGTTCTGAGCTTAGAAAACAAGAACCAGAAGTTCTTTATAAAGAAAGCTTGATTTAAGTGGGTGCCAGCCATGGCAACTCATTGAGAATCCAAAAAAAAAAAAAAAAAAAAAAAAAATCTGAGGATGTAGGGATGTAGCTCAGTGGTAAAGAGCTCCTGGGTTAAATCCTCAGTAAAACAAAACAATACAAAAAAAAAAAAAAAGCTTTATTTAGTTACATAGAACTGGAAAAAAAAAGGAGATTTTTCAGGTAAAAGAACATAACTGAATGTAACTCTTTTCTCTGAGATTTTGGTTATATTAAATACTCTCCTGCAATTATCTGTGTAACTTTCTTTATAAAGAGAGTTATAAGACTCATACCATCAGCAGACTGTCCTTTCCTGGTTGTACGTTTCACTGTTTCCCAAGTTCTGTTCAGACAGAGACGATGAAAAAAACTGTTAGTGCTAAAGGAGAATGTTCTTAGGTTTCCATGTATAACCAGAACTTCATAAATGCAACACATGCAAATATCCTTATGATACTGACCAAGAAGACCAAGACTATAAAGATCTGTTATTTAAAAAGCCAACTGTACTTAGAGTTTCCAAAATGATCAAAGAAAACCATTGCCACCCTACACCTAACCCTCTGGGCACCATCTAACAGAAAGCCTGCTAGGCACTTGCTTTGCCACTCTCAAAACACTTCAGTTTGGATCATCAGTCTGCAGGTGAGCAGGGCAGCTGGTGAGTGCAGCTGTGAAGGCTGTTAAGCAGTGATGCAAAGTAAGCCCCAGGAAGATCCCAGCCTTGTCCTATGCACAATGCCAACTACTGACATTATTTACATAGATTTTAAAATATATGACCTAAAGTACACAGTTTAAGAAAGTAGAACTTTCCCCTTTACTGAGGAATTATTAAATCGAGGTAAGTGCTCTATTTTGCATATGTGAAGTTTTGTCTAAGGGGGAAAAAATGGTCCCTATAGGGAAAAAGTGGGGTAACAGCAAATTCCTGCTCCCTTTTATGGCTTTACTCCTTGTTAGATATCTGTTCCTGGCTATGTTACTTCAGGTTTTGGTAACGTCTGTACTAATCCACTTCCTTGACAGGAACATTGAGCAAACTATATAGAGAATGCAGTAACTGAAAAAATCATGCTGTTTAAAGGGGAAAGAGCATAACAGGAAACTTCTCCCTTTATGCTCTCCTCCCTTAAGTAGAAAAAAAAAAAGGTAAAAAATGGGAGCGGAGAGGCAAACAATTTTAGATCTCTTCTAAAGGAAGTGAGAGATCTGGGTGGCTCTGGGAATTGGAATAAGAAAAGAGTCAATATCTGCAGCCCAGTAGTAAGGGTTATGAAATGTACTATTATGAGAAACCCTCTTGCTCATACTTTTTATCTAGTGGTCCCCAAGGTTTGGACCTTGCCCCATTTCTATAAAAAATTTTCTGATATTTAATCTGGTTTAAAAATAAAGGGAAAAAACCCTGTATATCTTTCAGCATCATACCCAAATTCTAAAAGGCAAATGTGTGTAAAAATGAACCCATGAAAATAAAGACTACTATGACAACTCACAGCAGCCCGACATTCCTGTTAGTAGCAAGAAGCCAACCAACAAGCAATTTCTGATAAGTAGGTAATACAGGTTGCAAGAGATAAAACACCTTTTGGCATAGCTCCCTCTGCTGCCTCTTAAGGTTAGTCCTAAAGACTGAAGAAGATAGTGCTGGAAAAAGCACTGAAGGTCCCATCCCAAATACACTAGGAATAAGGGAAACAAAAAGAGTAGCATCATTATAGTGGTCAAGATGAAGTCAATAAGCAGTAATGAGCCACAAAGTTTCAGCAATAAACTATAAGATGTATTTTTAAGAAATACTAGAACAACAGTGTCCCCAGAAGAGCTCTAACAATTTTAAAGGGACTCTCTTGAGAGATTACTTTTCAATGGGAGTAAGAAAGTCTTAATCTCTACTTGCATGTGAGTTAAACTAAAACTACAATCTCCTGGAAAATGTTTTCTCATTTCTAAAACCTGGGAACAAATACATTATCTCAAAAATCTCTTCTGGCTTTAGAATTCTGTTTCCATGAGGTTGGATGGTCACAAAGGATGACTCCAGCACTACCCTGAATGTCAATGTAGGGACTTACTAACAGTATGTCTTTACACTTCTAAAATTAATTTCATATCCTTTCTTCTGTGAATAAGACAGTGGACTAAAATAGCTGCTATTTTATCTTTTCTGCATATGCTTTTATACCAGATAATAGAGAACACATTCTTATAAATTTATAGAATGTGGCCTACTAGAAAGTTCAGAGATTCTGTCTTTAAAGCTTGACATTCCAGTACAAAAATATTAATGGTTTATATAAGATCTCATCAGAGGTCAGCAAGACGACTTATATGATGAAGAATGGAAATAAACATGTACAATTAGGTTGGTAGAAGGTAGGGTCCACTCCCAAATTATTGAAATAACGTAAATGAGATCTAGACTTGAGTATTCTGAAGAAAATCCCCAAATTACTCTGGTGTACATTCCTAATTAATTGTTGGAAGGGAAGATGACTAGCAAGGTGAAGAGATAGATGGCATAAACCAACACATATTCTTAGACTAATTAGTGTTAATGGTTGCATTTTGTGTTATAAACTTAATTTTATAAGAAAAAGAGAACCATACCATATAATATATTGGATTCCAATGTCTGTATATACTTTCGCAAATATAAATACATGTGAATATACTGTGCTCCCTGAAGCCTTGCCACATTTCTGTATTGGGTTTGGCCATATCCCTTACCTTTTAAAATATCAAATTCACTTAATATTTTAAATATTACAGTCTTCGAGGATGATAATGGCATAGTGTGTTAGCTTTCTTACTTTTGGGTTTTGAGTCAACAGTGCAGTATAAATATCTTAATGTTTCCTCTAGCTCTCCAACACCAGGTCTTAATAATGTTTTTTTGCTAATTTACTAGATCTAATCAAAAATTGTTCAAATTTGCGAATCCATATATTTTCTTCACCTTGATGACAGATGTGTCTACCCACAGAGAAGCTATGTATTTTTATCTGATCACTTAACAAATGAAATTTTTATAATAATGAATATTAATCATGTAATCTGGATAAATCATGTGATTTAATTTTCATATTTTGTTTTACTCATTATGTTTCATTAGGTAAATAATCTATTTAACTTTTCCCATTTTACTAGGTTTTCTTCAAATATACCATAACAATTAGTTACACACACACACACACACACACACATATATTTGCAGTGCTAGAGCTTGAACCTAGGACCTTGTGCATGCTAGGCAAGGGCTATCTATATACCTGGGCTACAATCTCCAGTCCAGCCCTAACTTTCTTTTTTTTAATAGTAAGGAGGCTTGAATCCAGGAATGCTCTAGCACTGAACTATATCCCCAGTCCTTTTTCATTTTGTAAAATTTGAGACAGGGTCTTGCTAAGTTCCTGAGGCTGGCCTAGAACTTGGGATCCTCTTGCCTCAGTCTTCCAAGTAGCCGGGAATACAGGTGTATGCCACCACACGGAGATTTTTCTTTTTTTTTTGGTGGGGGCGGGGGTACTGGAGATTGAACTCAGGGGCACTTGACCACTGAGCCACATTTCCAGCCCTATTTTTGCATTTTATTTAAAGACAGGGTCTCACTGAGTTGCTTAGCACCTCACTTTTACTGAGGCTGACTTTGAACTCACGATCTTCCTGCCTCAGTCTCCCTAGCCGCTGGTATTACAGGCCTGTGCTACTGTGCCTGGTACTGGGAATTGAACTCAGGGGCACTCAACCAGTGAGCCACATCCCCAGCCCTATTTTGTATTTTATTTAGAGACAGGGTCTCACTGAGTTGCTTAGCACCTCACCGCCTTTGCTGAGGCTGGCTGTGAACTCATGATACTCCTGCCTCAGCCTCCCAAGCAGCTGGGATTATAGGCATGCACCACTGCACCCAGCCTCTTTTAACTTTTTAACTTTTAATTTATAAATCTGAGTCTAAACAAGAGATAATTTTCTCAGCACATTCTCAGAAGTGGATTATTAGCTATTTGCTACAACGAGTGAAAATATGCATTATGATATGGGTTTTTCTTCCAATTTACATTCTATGAACAAGGTATAAACATCTAGGTATTACCTTAAAACCAGCTATGTTTTTGTTTTCTCTTTAAATTTTTCTAATTCAGAGATTAAAGTATTGGTTTTACAAGTATTGTTTACATGTATTGTTAATTATTCTGCTGTCTTGGCAACTAAATTAGGTTTGACATAAAAGTTTAGTTCCACACTAGTCTACTGCGGAAAATGGTGTTAAAATAGTTTCCTGATTAGTTATTGTAACAAATTTACAGCCTAATTTTATTCATAATATCAATGATCCAAACATTCTAACAGTGGAAAAACATCTTCATTAAAGTTCTTATTTAAAAGTTTATAATGAGGAAAACATAAAAAAAAGTTATGTTAAATATTCAACAGAGATCCAGAGAACCAAGATACTGATCAGTTTATAAGAGAAGAAAACGTTTACCTAGTTTTACCAGTAGGATCCATGTAAGTTGTTTTTTCAAGCTTGACCCATTTTCCTTCTGAAATTAACTAAAATGAGATCAGATAGTAAGTTGGGAAACTTTCTAACCCAGTTGGTTTTTTATCTAAAAGGTATTTTTTGTTCAGATTTTTGATATGTAGTCCCCCCACCTCAATAATCATGCTTCCCTCCCAATAATTTTGGGCAACTTTTCATTTCAGAATAAATATTCAAAGTTGTTTTTCCTAAAGGCTAGCTCTGATTCTCTTTGGAGTTTTTGAGGTATTATTAAGAAGTGAAAATAAGTGACAGTCAAAATGGACAGGAAATGGGAGCATGGCTCAGAGGAAGCATGTGCAAGGGCTCTGGTGTAATTCTCAGCACCAACAAGTAAAAAAATTGAAACTTCTGGGATGGAGGAAGTGGGGGCAATTAGATGGGAGCACCAAGGGTAAGAGGTCTTCTGGGATACTCCTACTAAAGTTCTATCCTCTCATCTGGGTATTAGCTACATAGGTGTGTGCGTGGGTAAAATTTTATTAATGTATTTTCCATAGATGATTATACTGGAAAGCTAATTGTGGGGAAACCAGGTCCAGGATTAAGTTTCCTACCCTGACATGTGATCTGTCTACCCAATCTAAGACAGTCCCTGGGACTGTTGAGGCTAGCTGTTTGAGTTTTGGTTACAAGGACTAACTTACCTATGACACTATACTGAACCAAGAGAGTTTCACTGTATACTTAAAGCAGTAGCCTTTTTCTTACTATCCTATCTTTCACTTCTTCCCGGCAGCAACCTAAAAATTATCAGCAGATCTGTTCACAGACAACGGAAAAACTTTTAAATAAAAAATAATTCCAGAAAGGTGCCAAGATCAGAATTGATGAAGGATTTAAAATTTATCCACTGCAATCGTTCCTGCAAGAAGAGTTTAGTAAAAAACTAAACTGAATAACATACAAGACAGACTTTAGTTCTACAAAGTCAGTGGAATTTGGACTACAACTAATAATTTAGGTTCCTTTTTTTTTAATATGTATATTTTAGTTGTAGTTGGACATAATATCTTTATTTTATTTATTTTTACGTGGCGCTGAGGATTGAACCCCAGTGCCTTGCACATGCTAGGTGAGTGCTCTACCACTGAGCCACAACCCCAGCCCCAATTCAGGTTCTTAAACATACATGTTGGATCACGAACAGCTAAGATATGATAACTAAATATGAAATATCAAAGTTTTAAAAAAACCCACATAGTTTTGCCTTTCTATTCAGGGAAGTAGATTATTTTAATAAGAATTAAGGATTTTCTATTAAGAGTCAAAATCTACTTACAGTCTCATTTCACCCATACATATAACTAAGAGGGATAAACTATTGCTGTCACATAAGAGCAAAAAGTACTTGAACTAGAAGATTTAAGGAACGACTATCTCCCAGATTGACAAGTGAATTATAACTTTGGGGGGAGAATATTTGGAATGTTGCCTTTGAATCACTTTTTTAAAAACTCTATTCCCACTAATGGCCAGAATTGCAGACTCTGGGAAAGGACTAACCTGTGTTTCTCATTTGCTAGCAAAACAATAAAACTTCTTTTTCCTTAAAAAAAAAAAAAAAAGAAAAAGAAAAAACAAAGTGCCAAAGCCCTAAAACGAGAGTAGAAGAATGTTTAAAATTATCCATCTGCAACAACAAACAACATAAATACTTCTCTTAAATTTAGACTTATGTGGGAAGGGAAAAGGAAAGTGAAAAACAAATTATACCTCCTCTGAAATAATAGTCTGTTTGGTATTCCGGGAAGAATCTGTTGGTTCTTGGTTCTCCATTTTCAATCCAGCTAGTCCTCAGTGAGAAGTTCCCGCTGTAAGATAATGAGATTTGTTTAGACTAAATTTTTTTCTGAATTAAACAAATAGCTGTCCATAGGCGACTAGTCAAGAGATTCAAATGGCAAATTATATACCATTAAAGCTGCTTCTCCTTTGTTGATATGTGGTGGAACTACCCTAGATGGAAAAGCAAATTTAGAAGCCAGGCTCTTTCAGTTAGAAGCAGTTTACTCACATTCACTAACTCCTGCTGTGCACCTGGAGGACAGTCTCTTAATCAGGTTTTCTGATTCCATATCTAAAACTTTTTTCCAAAAGAAAACAGTGGGAAGATTACACACCACTCTCTACACCCACCAACTTTTTTTTTTTTTTTGGTGCTGGGGATTGAACCTAGGACCTTATGCATGCCAGGTGGTACTTTACCAACTGAGCTATACCCCCAGCCCTCACTTAGCAACTTTTTACATCTAACTTAACAGTTTCCTGTGCTGGCATTTTTTATCTTCTCTCCTTTTTAATAAGTTGGGGTAAATGGATTTATCCTTTTAACAATTTTGAGTTTACAGTTCAGTGGCATTGCACACACTCACATTTGTGTACCATCAATATTACGGTTTCAACAGGTATCAAAGTACAGTTGTACAGTCAACTAGTCCTAGAAGATCTGTCATGAATAAAGCAGGTCCCTGATCCATTATCACACATTACTTCCTCTTTCTTAGTTTCCTCCTTCATTTTTTGGACTTTGCCCCTCTGAGAGTCTTTTTTCCCTACCCTTTCAGTTTGTTAATAATCTGGAGGCACTGCATAGTTGTCTTGTTGTTGAGAAGTCTGAAGCTATTTTGATTCCTCATCCTTTTTTCCATGTGACCTGTTTTCTTTTTTGGGAAGCTTATGACCAAGAAAGAGTCTTCCCACTGACATTATTATAAGGAGTACTCAAGTGGGTCCTTCCAGTACAGAAACTTCACACTGTGCTTCTTTTTAGGGAACCTCTCTTGGATCACTTTATTGATAATTTCCTCCTCTGCATTTTTTTTTCTTTCTTTTAAGAACTGTTATTTAGCTGTTGAGTTTTGTGAATTGATTCTGTCTTCTTGTTGTCATTCTTCTTTTCCATTTCCTTGTTACCTCATTTATCTACATTTCTTAATTGCTACTCTAACCCTTTACTACTCTGAAGTTTCACAGTTCTCCAACCTACCCTACCTCATAACTTTACCTTCAGAGAAAATAGTTAACCCTCAGGTTGGGGGGGCAGTGGCAGATACTGGACCCAGGACTCCCCTTTGGATACCCAAATCTCCTGATACTCAGGTCTCCTAGATAAAATATCATGATATTTGCATACAACTTATACACATCCTCCAATATGTTTTTATTAATTGATTTATTTTAATTAGGTATATATGACAGCAGAATGCATTTTGATTCACTGTACACAATTGCAGCACATCCCATATATTTAAAATAATCTCTAAATTACTTATACTTAACGTAAATTTTACAAAAACAGTTGTTATATTATGTTGTTTAGGGAATAATGACAAGGAAAATGTCTACATGTTCAGTACAGAAAGAATGACCCCCTCCCCCAATATTTTCAATCCATGGTTGGTTGAATCTATGGATGTGGAACCCAAAGATAAGGAAGCAATTACATAGACCTTCAAACATCACTTTGGTTATCATCGGTGTAAAGGAAAAAGTTTCTTCCAGAATCTAAAGTGATAATCAAATCTTTAATTTTTACCTTGTCAGCAAATTTCCCTATCTTAAAATACAATCAACAAAACCCAAACTATATTTATATTCATAAAGTACCTTTAAAAATCAAATGTCTAACTATCTTAATGGACCTGGCTAAAGCACCTTGTAGCAGACCCATTAAAGATAAGGTGTTTGGGGGGCTGGGGACGTGGCTCAAGTGGTAGCGCGTTCATCTAGCATGCGTGAGACACTGGGTTCGATTCTAAGCACCACATAAAAATAAAATAAAGATAGTGTGTCCACCTACAACTAAAAAATAAATATTTAAAAAAAAAAAAAAAAAGATAAGGTGCTTGGAATGCAGCAGTGGCCAGTATAGAGGCAGATTCTGTCCTCATGGACCTTTCCTTCTGGTGGGGAGGAGAAAGGGTGACTTGAAGTATTATGGGAAAAGGTAAAAAAAAGGATAAAAAGAGTAGGGAAGATATGTGCAGGATGGGGGAGGAAGTAATCCATATGGAATGATCAGGGTGACATCTGAACAGAGACTTGCAAGTAATAAGAAAGCAAGCTACACAGACATTTATATATTTAGAGACAGTCATTTAGCACATTGAAACCTAGAGGCCTAGTAAGAAAATAGGTAGATATTCCTTTGAAAAGGTCTCAGATGCTGATTTACTAGGTAAACTTTTCACTGGTACTGATTGAGAGAAGTGGTTGCAACCAAAGTAGCATGCTGACTCAGATAAAACTAACCAAAGGTAGAAAAATCAACTTGTCTTTACCTGCATGCACTAAATTCAGATTAAAAAAAAAAAAAAACTTTATGTAGATTTTTACCTTCTAGACAGTCATGCCCTTTTATTAATAACATACACACCAGAGAAGAAAACTTGCCAATGTGTAAGGAAAGCTTTGAATTTTAACTCTTAACAGAAAATAACTTCTAGATAACAAAGCAGCACCCCCCCCCCCCAATTGAATACACAAAATAAAATGTCTAGAATGGTATAAAATTCTTGGGTTATGTCAAATTTCTACCTCCTTTGATTACATATATGTATTTTTGCAGTGCAGAGGATTGAACCCAGGGCCATGTGCATGCTGGGAAAGCAATCTACCATTGGTCTATATCTCCATCCTCTAGGTCCTTTTTAAAAGTGACACTGACTCCAAATAACTTCTTAGTGCATACCCAAACTTCTAAAAGCAGGGAACCCTTCAAAACCATAAGCACCATCAGAAAATACTGAAAATCCAGGCATACACCTTTTATTCCAGTGGCTAGGGAGGCTGAGGCCCTAAGCAACTTGACAAGACACTGTCTCAAAATAAAAATTGAAAAAAGAGTTGGGGATATGGCTCAGTGATTAAGCACCACTGGGTTCAATCCCTGGTACAAAAAGAAAATACTGAAGAACCAGGTATCTAATCTCTCCTGTGGAAAGCATTTAACCTGGATTCCCAGAAGCCCCAGACAAAATGGCCACAACATGTAACACAGAAGAATAGAGCCTGCTGCCCCAAAACTGCCCCCATGTGAGTATCTTTAGGGGCAAAGGGGCAACTGGTCCTTTTTAAAAAAAAATATTTATTTTTTAGTTGTAGTTGGACACAATACCTTTATTTTATTTATTTATTTTTATGTGGTGCTGAGTGAGGATCAAGCCCAGGGCCTCGCTCATGCTAGGTGAGCGCTCTACCGCTTAGCCACAATACCAGCCCGCAACTGATCCTTTTAGAGTTCATGAAACTTGAAGGCCATTTAAGCCAGGCCCTCTTCTGCAGCTGTCTGTACAGCTTCCCTCTGATTTTCAAAGGTATGGTTGACTGCCCAAGGGATGAAAGAGTAAAATTTTGAAGGCTAGTTCCTCATCTACTAGTCTTCATTTAAAAAAGTTAGTTGAACTCAATTAAATACCCTAAAGATCAATCCTCAGTCAGCACTCAAGATACAGCAGTTGTTTCCAACAGATTGTGTTAAAAAATATGTAAGCTAAAATATTAGAGACTGGAGGGAGGGGGGAGCTACAGGCCTATACCAAAAAATTAAAATTAAACCAGTGGCAAACAGGCTGGGCCTCTCTAGGGCAATCAGTTCCAAGGAGAAGCAGTATTATGAAGCAATCCATCAACAGTTTAAGTAACAAAAAATAAGTGATTAACAAGCAACTTCAAAAGTATATAGTATTCTTTACTATCAGATTCCCAAAATGTTTCAAAAAGACAATAAGAGCATCTCAAAGGTAGTACCAAAACAAGATAGAAATATTGTTTTAGCACTATTTCAAAAACAAGCCAAATGGTACAGTCTGGGGCCAGTCACAAGCAACATGCTGAAGGAAGAAAGAGAAAGTTTAAATTCCACACTTCATCCTCCACTACCTCTGTTACTGTGATAGCACTAAGTCAATTCAGGAACAGCTCTATCACAGTAGCAGCTCTATTTCAAGATTTAAAAAATTGTTTAATTTGATCCACTTCTTTAACTAGAATTTATAACTATCTATATACTACCAAAATGTACGTTATTAAAAAATACATATATACATAATGTTGAATGCTTTATAATTTCATTTGATTGTCCCTCATCTTCAAATTCACTGTTTTGATTCACATAATTCATTTTAATTCAGTTCAGTAGTTCAGACCTTCTGACACTGAAGGTCTAAGATGTGTTATTTTCAAAAAACTCTAGTGAGGGGAAAATGTTACAAGATTCTTAAACTTTTAAAAGGTAGTTTTGATACTGAGATATAATTAGTGACCAAGAAAGCAGGGAAAGCATTCCTACTGGAAGGAACCCACAAGTAAAGAAAGAGATACTAACTGGGACAAGGTTGAAAAATTATGAAAAAGTTTGGCAAACTCAACCTTTCCCTCTACCCTGCTTAAAACAAAATAAAAAACAAAACAATCAAACTCTACATATATGGGATGAATCTAACATTTGCAAACACATTTTTATGATTCACAGATTTGGTGAATCCCTGCCTCTTTCCTAGATCTGCAGGCAAACAAAGTACTCTTCCCTGAAAGGCACACCATAATTTCTGTTGCTATATGAGCTAGTTTTAGGGTTAGGCAGAAAGTACAACCTTCCACTGAAGGGAAGGAAGACAAATGATCAATTTCTCACAGACTTGGGTATATTAGTACTAGTAACAACAGACAGATAAGAGACTGTGGGAGTTAAGATTCAAGAGATTTAGCTGAGAACTCAAAAAACCAGGCTGTGGAGTTTGTGCTCAGGCTCATTGCTCAATTGTTATCATACCTATTTCCTGAAATTTGTTGAGACTGCAAAGTGAAGCAAAAATCACAACAAGAAATTACATATTGGCCAGTCTCTACCTGATAAATTGAGTACGATAAACATCACCAATACTCAATCAAACAAAAAATGTAGGAGTTTACCAGGTATGCTGGAACATGCCTGTAGACCTAACTAGGCTGAAGCAGGAGTATGGTTTAAGCCCCCACAGTTTTTTTTTTTTTAGTTGTAGATGGACACAATACCTTTTTATTTTATTTATTTATTTTATGTGGTGCTGAGGATCGAACCCAGTGCTTCACACATGCAAGGGGAGCCCTCTACCACTGAGCTACAACCTCAGCTCAAGCCCACACAAGTTTGAGACCAGTATGGACAACATAGCAAGACCCTCATTAAAAAAAAAAAAGGGATGGGGATGTGGCTCATTAGTGGTAAATTGTCCCTGGGTTCTATAACCTGTACTTTAATACCCCTGAGTTCAATCCCTGGTACCCCCCCCCCAATAAATAAATACCCCCAATAAATAAGTAAATAAATAAAAAGAAAGTACTTAGGTTGATCCTTCTTTTGTACCATACGGTAAAATTTTGGTTACCACATTATCAAATGGATTTAAGTGACCTTTTTGCTGTTGATAATCATCCTCAGATAATGCAGACCTCTTGTACTTAATTTGTTAATTATAGAAAAACCATTGTTTTTTCTTTTTTTTTTTTTCTTTTCCTCTAGCAGGTATGACTGTTGGATGGACAGGGAAGGAACTAACATTTATTGAGATTATAGTAATCGGTAACTAATAACTTGATTCTGGTTGCACAAGAATGAACTGACTGAATTCTTAGGAATAGTTAACTGGTTATAGTAATGACCCAAGCAAAGAACCTCTTGCTAGAGATCAGGCAAGAGATTAACATGTGCTGAAATAGGGTGGTGGATTGACAAAGGAAAAAACATTTAATTTCTCTCAGAAAAGTTTATTATTTGCTCTAAAACAACTTCTAGGGAAGGGGTAAATCCAAGCTACTTCCAGGCGACGATTTGAAAGGAAACTAGGACATGGAGTTCACATTTGGATACACAGAGTTTATGGTGTTAGCAAGATATCCATATGGAAGAAAACTTCCAATAGTTGAAAATATTAATCTAGAAGAGTTAGTTATGCTATGGATTCAAAGAAGTAAATGTGCTGTCACATTCTTTACTCTGGATTTGTGCAATAACCTCCTCCCTCTATAATCACTTGACTGCTGACATTTGTCAGTATGCAGGAGAAAAAGCAACTTCCCACTATTGTAAAGGTTTCAGTTGAAGAAACCTGAATATAAACACTTCTTGGCTAAACCAAGACAAACATGGTAGTTTAAAAAAGGGTGAAAGCTCATTCAATTGTATCCATTTCAAACACTTGAGCATCTCCTGTTTGTAGTGTTAATTTATTTGATGCTGGTTAAATGTGAAATAAGTTAAAACCAACCGTAGGTAAGACTTCTATTTTTTTTTTTAAGAGAGAGAGAGAGAGAGAGAGAGAGAGAGAGAGAGAGAGAGAGAGAGAGAGAGAATTTTAAATTTATTTTTTAGTTTTCGGCGGACACATCTTTGTTTGTATGTGGTGCTGAGGATTGAACCCAGGCCGCGCGTATGGCAGGCGAGCGCGCTGCCGCTTGAGCCACATCCCCAGCCCCATGTAAGACTTCTAAAAAAAGTCACTGAAAATACTTCTAAAGCATGCAGTCGGTATAAAAGACATATCAAATTCTTTCCCTGCAAGATCTATTATTTAATAGTTTTTAAATTAAGCTGCGTCTCTACAAGAAACTGCAATGCTGTATTCAAGCTCAAATATTTTCCAGGCTATTTAAATATTACTCCTTCCAAAAGGAGTAATATTTAACTACATTCCTGGAATCTGTTTTCTCCCATATATTTGTTAATTCCTATCTTATACAGGAAATACCTTACTAAATGTATTTCTGTCAGTTCTAATATTTCTTTCGGCTGCAACTTTTTCTTCCTAGGCAAAAAATTACAATAAAAAAGTATGAGTGACCTTTCACATCTGCTATTAAGTCTGGCACTCTTCTCCGGTGTTAGGAGACGGAAAATAAGAAATACAGCTTCTTCCTACTACAGTCGGGACTCCATTGATACATACTGCAACATTATAATCTATTTACCTCTGCTCTGAAAATGTATCCTTAGTGGTTAGTTAACCACTTAGCCAGTAACATTTTTGAGAAAAACAATTTATCTTCCTGGGGGCAAAGTTTCTAACTTCAAATACACAGTGGATCCTGTTTATTATTTCTAATGAATACTTTCTCAATGAGGCCTGCAGTGGGTGGGGTTACCTCTAATTTAAAGCTGCTTAGGTCACCCTAAGAGTGTGCATTTATACTACAAGCACCTACAAAACCACTAGGGTTTTTTTTTTTTTTTTTTAAAGTACAGGGTATTGAACCCAGGGACAATTTACCATATGGCCCATAATCCCAGCCCTTTTAAATTTTATTTTTTTATTTTGAGGCAGGGTCTCACTAGGTCGCTTAGGGCCTCGCTAAGTTGCTGAGGCTGGCCTTGAATTTGTGATCCTCCTGCCTCAGTTTCCCAACTCACTGGGATTATAGGCATGCACCACATTGCCAGGCTACTACCACAAGATTTTTAAAGGCGTTTCTCAGTAGCTAGTGTTCTCTCTCTCTCTGAAACAAAACTCAACTTCGTGGGGTAACAGTGGAAAGTGGAGTAGTAGAGGGTAAAAAAAAAAAAAAAAAGAATGACACAAATTCTATGAGAATTCTTCCAGTTTTAGGATCCGATCATTTTAGAGACTGATATAATTTCTGACTGTGTGTTTCCAGACTAACAAATTTTGCAGGGCTGGACTAAATGAACTTGATGCTTAAGGAAGAAAACGTTCTCCTTGACGCTTTTTCAAACTAGCCCGCCCCCTTTTACCTCCCAAACCGAATATCACCTCCCACCCTACCGCAGGATGGGACAGGCGGGATTCCGCCCAGTCTTTCAAAATCAACACTCACGAATGAAGAGGAACCATTCTCCCTGTTTGCAGCTGCCTCAACCAATATACTCAGACATTTAACTGTGGCGTCCCCTGCTTCCTCCGATAGTTCAGGCTCTTCCATCGCAATCGCTGGTTTTCCTTCCGCACTGGGACTCTAGCCCAGCCGCAGACTGGGAGACACGCGCGCGGCTGCTGCACTGTCCGAAATCATCACGCGTGCTCCCTCCCACCCTCTCCACTCCCAAAGAGACCTTGTCCAGTGATTGTTCCGCACCCATTTACCTACTCCAAGGTGTGGGGAGAATAAGGGAACAGGAACCAAAGAAAAAAGGACGAGCGTGAAGCAGCAACCTCTGCAGATACCGGTGGCACGACTTCAGACACCGGCGCCTCTCGCGGTGCTAAGAGGATGTGTACGCGTCCTCCTCGAGGCATCCGTAGAAATCCCGCCGCTGACTTAGCCTTAGATGATTACCTTCCGGGTCGCAGTGCGTCTAGGGTGAAAGCCGAGCCATAAACTCAAGTTCCTCTCTTACACTTCTACAATCCCTCTTCCCGGATTCAAATGCTTTTTGCGTGTGCGTGTATTAAGAATACTCCCACGACTGACCTCCGCCTCCTTTTCTCCTATTGCCTGCCAGCCTTACCGACCGGAAGAGTCTTCGAACCGAAATATCTCGGCTGGCACTTCCGGAAGTGCAACCTAGGGTTCCGGGAGAGTGCTGGCAGGTGAGGGAAAAGTAGGGACGGAGGTAGCTGGAGGATGAAGAAGGAGCAGGTGCTGCACTGTCAGTTCTCCGCGTGGTACCCGCTTTTCCGAAGCCTTACCATCAAGAGGTAAGATGGGAGACGTTAGCCCGGGCTACTGACAAAAGCGAACTGTGGCCTTCGGGCAAATCCCATCTCCGTCCAAAGGAGTGCAGGCCTTGTAACGACCGGATAGGAACGACGAGGTCGATTTCTTAGTGGTATTCGGAGTAGGGAGATTGATGAAGGTCAGCATTTGCCGGCGTCCCCTTGCAAGTCTAGGAGTGTGCTGGGGGAGGTAGGAGGGTGGGTCCTGGTTCGGTGAGGGTCGGAGGCGGGCCGAGTGCTCGATTCACCTAGGGTAGGCCTCGGAGTTTACTAGTACTACTTGAAGAATTGCCAGAGGCGTCAGGCGATCAAGAGAACTGGACAGTCTGGGCTTTGCTACTGACCTGCCCGCCCGGCTCCCATGGCTTTCCGCCACTGTAGAGTGAGAGCAATTTATACAGACCCTACCTCCAAGTCTGTTGTGATGCTCCAGTATGATAGTGTATATGGAAAGAGTTGTGTATGCTGTGAGAAGAAGCAGTCTATCCGGAAAAGAAGTGGAGCCGTATTTGTTTCATAATTCTCTTGACCCCAGTTTGCAGGACAGGCAGAAGATTAGCTGTTTCATCCTTTGTCCCATCATTCATGGTAATGTATGGCAAGGCAGCCAGAAGCCTGTCCCCAGCCGTTCAAAAACAATCATAAGTCTGAAGCATGATACAGGGTAGGCTCTCACTCGCTAACAGGGGTAGATCCAAGGCCTGGGTTCCTGTGAATGGGATTTTCTGTATTTTGCTCACTTCTTCTCCTTCTCCTCCTCCTCCTCCCCCTCCCCCCTCTCTCTCCTCCCCCCTCTCTCTCCTCCCCCCTCTCTCTCCTCCCCCCTCTCTCCTCCCCCCTCTCTCTCCTCCCCTCTCTCTCCTCCCCCCCTCTCCTTCCCCTCTCTCTCCTCCCCCCTCTCTCCTCCCCCCCTCTCTCCTCCCCCCCTCTCCTCCCCCCCTCTCTCTCCTCCCCCCCCTCTCCTCCCCCTCTCTCCTCCCCCTATCTCTCTCCTCCCTCTCTCTCCTCTCTCTCATTCTATGTTGGTACTGGAGATTGAATCCAGAGGGACTTTCCTACCGAACTACATTCCTAGCCCTTATTTTTTTTTTATCTTGAAACAGGGTCTCTCTTAGTTGCTTAGCGCCTGGTGAAGTTGCTGAGGCTGGCCTTGAACTTGCAGTCCTCCTGTCTCAGCCTCCTGAGTTGCTGATATTATAGGAGTGTGTCTCACTGCTCACTTCTCCTTTAGGCCTAGATTGTCACTAAATAAATGACATTAACCATCTCTTTGTTTTCATTCTGACCTGTTTTGGACTCCTGAGATGTTGGAAGGAAACAGAGATTATTCATAAACAGTTCTTTTTCATTTTTTTTAAACAATGATTTTATTGCTTGAGTACATGCACAAATTTATGCCACCAACGCAGAGGCTGTGGATGACTCATGTTTTCAAAATGGTGCTCTGGATTGGATGCAGGGCTTCATGCACACTAGGCAAACACTCTATCACAGAGCTACAGCCCCAGCTGCTCTTTTCCATTTTGTTATTTAGACATAAAATTCTGCTTCTAGGGGCTTGGGTTGTGGCTCAGTGGAAGAGCGCTTACCTAGCTAGCGTGGGTGATGCCCTGGGTTCGATCCTCAGCACCACATAAAAATAAATAAATAAAACAAAGGTATTGTGTCCAACTACAACTAAAAAAAAATAAATATTAAAAAAAATCTGCTCCCGGTTATTCATGGTGTAATGGAATTGAGAGTAGCAAAAGGAAGATAATCCTTGCATTTCATGACAGCTGAAATCACACAAAACAAAGAGAAACCCCCCAGCAGCAGCAGTAGCAGATATTACATCCTATTATCTTCCTGATATTCCAGTCCTTCATTAACTTGCATAATTCAAAGTTGGACTTTGGGTCTTAGATGATGTTAGGCTATTTCTTTTGTGTTGGCACAACAGAAGGTACATTCATGAACTTGTCAGACATTTTGCACTGAATGTTCTTTTCTCTCTCTCTCTCTCTCTTTTTTTTTTTTTGCAGTGTTGGAGATAGAGCCCAGGGCCTTGCATGTCTAAGCAAGCACTCTACCACTGAGCTATACCTCACAGCCCCTGACAAACTAACATTTTTTTTTTCTCTACACCTATCTTGTATAGCCTCTAGCATGCTTTCTCTTTGTCTTAAGCTATAAAAGCATATGATTAAGAAATGGACTCTGAAGTTAGAGCCATCTGTCTGCTTTGAATTTTGGTTCCATCAGCATCTTTACCCAATTATTTATCTCCCTAATCTTCCTTTGGAAAATTGAGAAAATAATAGGATTTTCATGGGCATTAAATGAGAAAATATTTAAAATACTTGTCACTCTTTGTGGCATATAGTAAACATACAAAAGTGTTGCTTATTGCATTTTTTATTTAATAAACGCCCGGTTGAAGCAAAATAATTTTAGTTCACTTAAAATGTGTACCATTTATATGATGCCAAGAATGAAAGAGAAATAAACCAACAACTAAGGCATGTTGCCTATAACCATTTACTCTGTTTTTAAACCCATTTCTTCAGTCTATTTAGTTCTAGTGGTATCCCTGGAACCACACGGATGGCAGGGTACCCCTATACAATCCAAGCCAATCCAGTGGAAGTGTGTGGTGGCCATTGCCAGCTTTAATGCTGAAAGACCTTACTCTGATTATTGACTCAGCATTTTATTTTTTGTTTATTAATTTATGATACAGAAATGATTATGCAGGTTCGTTTTTTTGGAAAGTTCTAGGACTTTGACTCAGACTTGACAATAATTAGCTAGGTGAACTTTGGTCTTCCAGCTACTTTTCCTTTCTAAGTCCATTTTTTCCCCCTAAAATATAAAGATTATATTAATCTTATAAAGGGCCTCTTCTACCTCTTAAATTCCATTAGAAGTAACTTGCCTGTCATTTAATTATTTGATTTCCATCAGGCCTCACTGGATACTTACCTGCATAGCAGCTTCCTTTGATGGCCACATGGGCTCTGAGTAAAGCTTCCTTGGCAATGACTTGTTTATGGCCGAGGCTTTCAGGCACATTTCCTTTTCCTTCTGTATTTGGTAGCATGTGCAGCATCTGCATTCAGTTCAGCACTTATATTTAACTGTGATCCCCCGCCCTTTTCTGTCTTTGTCAGGTCAGAAGCTTTGAGTTCTTAAAGGAATCTGTTGATTTACATAACAAAGGTGCAAGATAATGTCATTTAGGATGAACTTCAAAGTGTGACTGTGGGACTAGGTAATTCATAACAACTATGCAGACTCTAACTCCATATTAGTTCATATGAATAAGAGTTATGGACCTGATGAATAGGAAGAGTATGCAAAGAATTCAGAATTGAATCAAATAGAATACAAATGTTTTGAATCCAATCAAGGAAAGATGAAACCTAGAGTAATAGTACTGATGTACTTCAAACCTGAAAATTAGTATAACTTGTTAAACAAGGATGTGGACTCTGGAATCAAGTTTTCTCACAATGAGAAAAATCACCCTGGATGTCTAAGAATTCAAATCCTGCCAACTTTTTTTTAGTCTTTAGAGCCCTGGGAGGGTAAACTTCAAATTCTCTAGAAAGGTCATCTCTTATTCTCTTGGGATGATATTATTTCTTTAGTGAATATCTTTAGCCCCAGGAAGAATAAGAATTAAGTATGGAGGTGACGAAATAATTTACATTTAATGGTTTTATTTTTTTTTCCTGTTAAATTTCTTTAGTATCTTTAGGGCTTTGCCATTTTGAGGATAACTAGTATGTTCATAAGAGATTAGCCTTGTGGTTACAATTGAAATTATGTAGTTGCTTTAGAATTGATAAGTTAACATATTTAAGGAAAAATTTCAAGTTTTGAATGGTATTAGAATGTGAGAACCTTAGATTCACCATATTTTTATAGTTTTTTGTTGCTCAGCTTTATAAGATTAAATATTTGGCAAGGTTTATTTGTAATCAGACAACAAACGTTCAAATAGACATTTAAATAGATTTTTAAATTAAATGTAGTTTAAATTATTTTATTGATGATGATGATAATGATGATGTAGTAGTAGTAGATACACTATGGATTAAACCCAGGGGCACTTAACCACTGAGCCACATCCCCAACCCTTTTATTTTTATTTTGAGATAGGGTCTTGCTAAATTTATTAGGGCCTTGCTAAATTGCTGAGGATGACTTTGAACTTGCAATCCTCCTGCTGGAATTTGAATTCTTAAAGAGACTTTAAAGTCACAAAGGCCTCATTGGAATTGGTTAAAATTTAGTAGATTTACAAACAGAATAATAAAATTTGTTAGTTGAACTTAAGAAGTCTGAGGAAGAACTAGGCTTTTGAATTTGAAATTGTAACTTTGCTGAATAAAATATTGATTTTTAAAATCAAATTAGCACTTAAATATCTTTTCTTTGTACATAAACCATTTGTAATGTATCAAAAAACTTGTTCAGTAAATAAATGATGCATAAGTCACTGATGTTCTGCTGACTCTTTAAAAGCAGGCTGTAATCTTTTTCAATTCTTAGAAAATATACATCTCAAAATCAAAATGCAGTAATAGCATTACTTTTTAGGAATCTGGAAGAAATTTTTGATGATTTTTTACTTCAGTATAAAAACAAATTATCTCATAAGTTGTTAAATGACTTCAAATGTGACTTTGCCATCTTTAATTATGATTAACTGAAACAAATTAAGCTAACATGTACTCAGTAAGCAACTTTATATCTCTCGTGATCAGTTGAATAGAATGCCAAAACAAATCCATGTAGATCATGAAGTCTTAGCCCTTAATATGTTCATTGCCCATCAAACAATGGATTCCAGATCTTGAGTCTGCTGCTGCTTTGTGTCTTAGAGGTGTTTAGTTAATGCTGTTAATGTTCTGTTGTTGTTTTTCTTCCCTGTATTTTCTGTGTTGGTGCAAATACCTGCTGGTCTTAGATTTCTTAAAGACAGAATCCTTGTGCTCACTGAGAATTCTTTTGAGCTTGTTACTTTCATATTGTGACCTCCATTTGTTTATTTGGATTTGTTTTTGTTTTTCTGCCATAAACATTGTTGTGGTAATTATATGAAATGTCATGTTTGTTCATATTATACTAGTCCTGGTTTGCTGCTATCAAATATACACCATTAACATATTCTACTATATATTAACATAAAGGGAACAGATAACTCAGTAGTAGAGTGCTTGCCTACCCCCCCTCGAAAAAAAGAAAAAAAAAAAAAAGGAAAAAAAATGACCTGGGTCATTAAAATGATGCCTTTTTTGGCGTACTTTTTTTTTTCTTCCCCCAGTGTCATCCTTCCACTTCCTCAGAATGTAAAGGATTATTTACTTGATGATGGAACTCTGGTGGTTTCAGGAAGGTAAGTATGAGAAAGAATTCTTTAAACTTTATTATAAAGAAATAATGTGGTTAAATTTCAACATTTATGTATAAAATGAATAAATTAGCTTGGCACTATTCTCTCATTTTAGCTCCTTTTTTTTTCTAGCTAAAATTATGTGCCAATTTTTGTCCCATATTCCTTTCAATGTTCAGCTGATATCTTGAAAATTGAGTACTTCCCTCACTAATAATAACTAGTTGTGAAATTGCGCAGTTCCTTTCACTTGCTGTAGAGAAGGGATAAGATGGTACCTTTCCTTCTGAATGTAGCAGGCTAAGTGATAGGGCAGATAATTACCCTTTTAAGATCCTTTAGTTTTTAAGATAAAAAATTCATTGTTCATTGCAAGCAGAAAGCTTTCTGAGGATTTATCCTTAACATTTTATTCCCCACAGTTGATCCATCATGGCTCCTCCCCAACCTTCTAGAATCTATTCAGGTAGTTCCTCTATTACTGGGTAGAGGAAAATGATGTTTCAATCGTTTTAGTACAGACTTGAGAAAGTTGAGAATCAGAGTTTAGTGAAGTTCTTGTGTTTTCATTTAAATCTGTATTTAAAAGTCATGTCATGTATGTGTCCAGACTTCCCCATCCTTTCTAAAATGGCCTAATAATAACCCTTGCTAGTATGTCACTCTTTATCCCCTAAAACTGCCTTTATTTTCTGATGATACTTACTTTCACCTTACATAATTCCATTGGTTGTTCTATTTGAATGAAGTTTGATGAGACCAGGGACTTGAGCAGTTGTTCACCCAGCTCTGGGAACAGTCCCTAGTACATAGGATGTGCTTGATAAACATTTATTGAATGAATGAACCTTAGACATGTGTTTAGAGTTATGGTTATTTTCAGTAATAACTAACTTGACCCCATATGTTTGCTTGGTGGATTTCTAGTATATTTTTCTGGATTATAGTTCTAGACTTTTTTGAGTACAATTTTAGCCCTTTCATAACCTGAAAATTGTTAATATCATTAACTTGGAATAATTAGAGGAAAAAGAAATGGTAGAAAAAAATGAACAAGTCTCAACTTTGGGATATTCACAGACATTTTATTATCCCCAATATTGCATATTTAATAAGCTTATGTAAATTAGACTGCAATATAAATAAGATGACTCCTAATATTAGAAGATACTTTATTAATTTTAGTACTATAAATTACCAAACAGCTCCTGTATTGACTTTCATTGGCCAGATGTTTGCATGGGCTGTTGGCTCAGGAAAACAGGATGTTAAATACCATTAACAGTGCTCCACAGTACACAGGGCTCTGCCCTGCTGTACTCTAATGCACAGATCACATACGGAACCTGTCCTTTTGGAGTTGATAGTTCAGCTTCATATTTTGTGGGAGTCAAAATGGTATAAGTGCTAACTCTTAAGTACAGTTTCCTAGGGTTGGATCTTCTCTGTTGTTTTGTAGTTCACTGTATCTCAGGTTCTTGTCTGTAAATGGGGTAAATGATAGTGCAGAACTTAGTTCATTGGGGTGTTATAAGGATAAAAAACAGTAATGTGTAAAACGTTCAGCCCAGTGCCCAGTATATTTTATGGTCTTAAGAAGTATTCACTTCCCTCCTCATCATTAATCTTACTGAGTACAAATATTAAATAAACATACAAGTTAATATATGTGTGAAAATTGGGATAAATCCTATGAAGGAGATGGGACAGGTCCTGACATTAAGTTGGTGGGCTGAGTATTGTGGGGAGGGTCAAGGAGTGTCCTAAAGAAATAACTTTTGAGCCTCTGAGATGTGGAGACTGGGAAAAAGAAGTCAGCCAGTTGAAGGTGGGAAGAAAGACTTTTTCTGGCAGAAGGAACAACATGAATGCTCTTGACTTGGAGAGGGTTGTGTGGCTGGAACTGGGAGAGAGCTTTTGACAAAAGGTAACATAACTAAAATTTTAAACTATCTTTGTGACCCAGAGCCAGTGTTCTTACAAACCAGTTCTGTGTAAGATATAATAGAGAAAATACAGAATCCTAAATACTAGCATCATATTTTTACCAGTTCAGACCTCAGTATTTGAGGGTTACCTTAGAAAGCCAAGCCTAATAAACTTGCACTTTGAAAATGTTGTCACATTCTACTATGAAGAAACTTTAGGTTGTTATCTTCTACAGTGGCACTGCAATAAGTTCTCTGAAGAACTTATGAATACACTGATTACAAATATATTTTAAAATGTATTCTGTTATACTAAAAAAATATGATTTTTAGAGTAATGAAGCACATTTTCAAGTTTGTTGGGGTACCTTTTATGTTATATAAAGTTTGTAAACAATGTTAATGTCACGTTGAATAACGTGATGTGACATTTAATAAGAGGTCTAAGAAAGAAAGGCTAGCTTCTTGGGTAGGGGATTCACAATTGACAGTGTGTTAATATTACCCCTAACTATAGAATCGGGTTCTCACCTTGTAGATATGGAAACTAAACTCTTTAGGATTATGAAGAGTTGATTAAAATTTTGGGGGACTGACACACATTAGCCAAAATTTTAACAGAATAATTGATAAACCAGAGTGTGCTTTTTCTAAAGATTGCTTCCACTTGGAAGATACATAGTATAGCCTGAACAAATGTAAACGGACTCATTCTTTGCCACTTCATGTATCTTAATGTACTTACACTATTAGTCCTTAATCTAATCTCTTCAGTATTATTTCTTTATTCTCTGTGATCACCTTTGAAGATCTCTTCCACTCTTTTCATCTCCCTCATGACTAGTCAGTGTTTACAGTCATTATTGTTGACTACTGAGCTACATTATATGTTATAATTACCTTTTCTTTTAAAAATAACTGTTTCCCCTGAAACTAATAGTGATGTTTTCAAATTTTACTTTATTTTCTATGTGTCTATCACTGATATTTTACAAATGTTCTAATAAACAAAAACAGCCTATTAGTTGTTTTTCTAAATCTTCAAGAACAGTTCCAAATCTGGCAGCTCTGTTTTTCTTTTCATGGAGATCTCACTGTAGCAATCACCCATCTTCCTGGTCCAGGTCGAGCTGATAGTTCCTCAGATCTGGTATACAGTTGTCAGCTTTGAATTTCTCTTGAGAGTTGGATTTTCTGTATTTTTCTTTGGATGCCATATTTTTGTTTATCTTAGTTTATTCATGTTATTGAAGTACATGCTCTAGAATGCATAGAAGGAACACCTTTTGAGCTGTTGCATGTCTGAAGAAAATTGTATTCTATTCTTATACTTGATTTTGGTGCTTAGGAGTTTTTACTTAATATGGGATTCTAGGCAGAAAATCACCCTCTGATTTTGAAAGTGTAGCCCACTATCCTCTAGTATGCTCTGAGGTCCCAAATCATTCTGATTTATGTACCTTTTTTCCCCCTAAGAATGTTCTTTGGATTTTCTCTTCATATTTTATATTTCATGATAATCATCATAGTCACTTGTTTATTGTGGCTTAAAACAGTAACCATTTCAGTGATTTGGGGTTAGGAGATACTTTACTTGTTCTGTTATGTTTCTGCACATCTTCAAGCACAGGTACCACCAGCTTTTGTTCTTAACCATCTTTTTAAGATTGCTTAGACAGCACACATTCTCAAAGATACAGCCTCTCCCTGTAGAGTAAAAAGCAAGTTTGTTTACTGACAATATAAATAAACACATTTACTGACAATATAAACAAACACATTGAGCAGGCTTTTTTGCCATTATGAAAGATGACATTCCCTAAGTTCAGGGTTCCTTGGTTGTAATACAAGCCTGGATTACCCTACTCTGTATTACCCTGTGAGACTTGAGGGGCAAGAGAGAACTGATACAAAGAGCTTCTTGCTGTGGTATGAGTGATAAGAATTGTTTCTGACTCAGGAGTCCCATGTCCTCTGACAGTGTCCATGGAACTGTGAGAAGCTAACTTGTTAGCTTTCAAGTAGGGCAGAATCTCAGATTCTCCATAGTTATTGACACTGAGCAGGTCTTCACAGTGACTGGTCATTTGTCCTCTAGTCTGAGCTGGGCAGTCTTATGATGTCTTTCCTCATATGTCTGGTAGATGATGCTGACCATCGGCTGAGTCTCTTTATCCCTCTTTATCCCTGTGGGCCTTCATCCTCAGAAAGGCTGGCCTTAGTTTCTTTAGCTGTGGCAAGTATTTCGAAAAGTAAGAGTGAAGCTCCAAGGACACTTGACATCTCAGCTCAGAATCCAGTGGCATCACTTGTGTTACATTCTATTAGTCAGAATGAGTCTTGAAGCCAGTCAAAATTAAAGGGATGGAAAAATAAAGGCCATTTGTTGATGGGAAGAGGAGCAAAGTCACCCTGCAAAGGGGCACATAAAAAGGGGTGGAAAAAACTACTGTGGCTATTTTTGTACATTTGTTTTTCTTTTCCTTCATAGTGCTATGTACCTAGTAGACTCTTTAATTCTAGAGACATGTTTTCCATTTTGGGGACATTAAAAAATATTTTGTCTTTGATAATTTTCTCTGTCTTCTGTCTGGAACTGCTGTTGTTTAGGTGTTAAGTCTGTTTGTTTAATTCCTTTGAATTTTATCAATTCTTTTCTATTGACTTTTTGCCTACTTTGTTTTCCTTTCTGGGTAGTTTTTGTGACTTTTCCTTTCAATCTTTTGAATTAAAAATTTTAGCTATCATGTTTTTATTTTCTACAAGTTCTGTCTTTTTTTAATATATATTTTTAGTTGTCAATGATCTTCATTTTTTAAAAAAATTTATTTATATGTGGTGTTGAGAATTGAACCCAGTGCCACACACATGCTAGGCAAGTGCTCTACCACTGAGCCACAACCCCAGCCCCAAGTTCAGTCTTTTTCTTTCTTCTTCTTCTTCTTTTTTTTTAATTGCCTCCTTTTCTTCTTTTCTGGATGTGATATCCTTTATGTTTGGGGATTAATAATGCTTTTAAAAAATATTTTTATCTGGTTCCCTTGGTGTCCTTTTTCTTCCGTGTATACATTTTTTCCTCTTCTTTTTTGAAAGCATTTTTTGTCTTGGAGCTTTTCTTCAGTTTTCTAGTTCTTTGAGGCCTATATTCTTACATAAGAGTAGAGGACACATCCTTGCACAAACATTTGCAAACTTTGTGTACCTAGGTGGAACACAAATGTGCCAGTAGCCAGCCAGTATTGTTGGGAGATTCCCAGATGGTAATATCTGTAGGTCTTTCCTCTAGGCTATTCAGTTCCTACAGAAAATAATCCTTTAATCCTTCTTTGTTCCTGAATTAGGGTGAGAGGAAGGGGACTAGAGGTGGCATTGTGAAGTATGATTTTCACATAACCCTCGTGATCATTTGGGCCATTATGTGTCTGAATCCTTTCACTCTTTAGTTTATTTTTTTCCCCAGAGAAAAAATGCTTACCAAAAGGGCTGAAGAGGATTAGTGGCTAGAGTGTTCAGGGTAAGGAAGGTTGGGTATGTCCTATTCCTCCTTAGATGGTGCCCAAAATTGACCTTTTGTTTAGCGCAGAGCTTCCTTCCCATCTTACACAGTATCTATAAGTTCTTACCTGCCGCTCCTGGGTAATCCCTCTGGTGGCCTTCTGAGTTCAAAACTTTTCAAGCCATTTTTCTTCTATAGTTGTCTTTATTTTGGTCATCTTTATCCTTGGATCTTTCCTTTCATTTTAGTAGCATTTTAAGAGGGAACATAGAGGTAAATGCACATGTTTGACCAAAAATTTCCCTCTTCTTTTTTCCTCATATAGCCTTTGCATAGCTCCTGGGCTTTTCTTATTGATCCCCCCCCCCCCCATAATGTGAATTCTCCTAGGCTTGTTGTCTGCAGTTGGGTGTTGAGGAGTGGCAGTGCAGTGTTGTGAATATTCTGTCTGAGTTCTTTCAGCCTCTGCTTCCCCATTAGACAGTGAGGACTGGCTACTGAATGGCATTTTCCATTCTCCTTTGCTTGCTGGCTTCTTCACAGGTAGTATGCCTGAGTATTTCTTTCTTTCTTACCTTTTTCAGTGGTCCAGTCTTGATCCAGAGTAACTCTTGACACCGGCCCACATGCTCAGTTTTCATTGCACATAGGAAGGATGTTGGTTTTGCCCCAGGGATGTCTGTCAGTAGTGTGGACAGCTCTTCACATGTTTTCTTCCTGGGTCTTCCTTGTTTTTGGCAGCACTTTCTCATATATTGGGGTGCAGAGTCCTAGATGATTCTTATTATCAGACATGGGGTTCTTAAAATTTCCCTTATTTTTGGTGATTTCTGAGAGGAAGGTAGGAAGGTTTTATTCTGTGGTCTATTATTGGTAGTAAGCCAAGTATATGATGCATGGCATTTTTGGTTGAAAGGTGACGCCAGCTAGCCATTGAGATGATATGATTATGTTAAGATTTGCATTCATATGGATATTGGACTCCTGCTGTTCACCTAGGCCTGCTATGGGACTCCTGGAGAGTTCCCATTGGTTGGGGAAGTACAGTAGGAGGGAGTTCCGGGGGAGGAGCTCTCTGGTAGTGGGTAGCGTGGGTGGATTGAAAAATCTTCCTGGACATTGGCGGCAGTTTCAAAAAATAAAGTTTGTTCCTGCTTGAGTGGCTCGTGATTTTGTGCCCAGCCAGACTGTGGCATACTTCAAATTGTTTTGTTTTACATAAGCTTAACATGCTTGAGAATATGGCTATTTGGTAGCAGAAGTTTTCTTTGCATAATTTTTTCTTTCTGTTTTTTTAGGGAAGATCCACCAACTTGCTCTCAGCCAGACAGTGACGATGAAGCAGAAGAAATACAGGTTGGTAGAAAATAAAATAATCTGTTCTGTAGACTATTTTAATTTAAATGGTTCCTAAAGTGGTTTTGATGTTTAGGCTTCCCTTACATTTGATAAAGTGAGAAATTACACGAAAATCTTACATTTGATGTCCATTTTTACATATACTTTGAATTTGGGGAAAGATGTCTTCTGTTTATGTATCATTTTTAGATGGAGCACTGCCTTTGGGATCCTGTTATACTATTTAAAGTTAATGTTGTTTGTTTTTCTGTCCTTTTATCTATGTAGTGGTCAGATGATGAGAACACAGCCACGCTTACGGTAAGAGCAAAGCAGCACCAGCATGGGGACACAGCCTCATACTGTCACCTAAGAGTTACCTCACAGCTCTCCAAATTCCCATGTATTTAACCACTTCAAATACCTTGTTGTCTGTGGGGTATTATTTATTATTCTGAAAAATAATTTGAATCATTTTTGAATAGGCAAACATGGCTTGCCCTCTTTTTCCCTGTGATTACAAAGGAAATATTTAAAGTGCATTATTTGATGCTCTGACTTGTTTCTGTTATACTCTGAAAGAAGGAATTAAGCCAGGCATACACTGAGCTTCACATATTTTGCTGGGCAATAAAATGAAAAATCTATATTTATTTACTCAAGTATATTTAAATGCCATAAATAAATTATAATTTATTTCAAGTGATGAAGTATGTGAGTTAAACCCAAGTTTTATATAAAATTATAGAAGTTGATCAAGCATATTATATAGTCTTTTGGGATAAAAATGCTGCTATAAAATTTAAAATTCAACTTAACATATTTTTATGAAAAAAAAAATTTTTTTTGGTACCAGGGATTGAACTCAGGGGCACTTGACCACTGAGCCACATCCCCAGCCCTATTTTGCATTTTATTTAATTCAGAGACAGGGTCTTACTGAGTTGCTTAGTGTTTTGCTTTTGCTGAGGCTGGCTTTGAACTTGTGATCCTCCTGCCTCAGCCTCCCAAGCTGCTGGGATTATAGGTGTGCGCCACTGCGCCTGGCCAAAAAAAAATATATTTTTTTATACCTTTTTTTTTTAAAGTTATTTTTATGTGGTGCTTAGGATTGAACCCAGGGCCTTGCAAGTACTAGGCAAGTGCTCTCCTGCTAAGCTGCCGCAGTCTGGCTGGGCACAAAATAACCGAGCCACCACAAAAGCCTTGTAGATTCAAACAGCAATTCTTTATTCCAAACTCTCACCGACACTCTACCCACACTTCCCATGAACACCCTGCCTCCACTCGGCTCCACGCACCAATTCTCTCAGAATCCCTTGAGAACTTCACAGGAACTCAAAAGGAGCTGGCACCTGAGGCAGCAGGATCCGCCCTAATCCTGGAGCCACCCTATTCCCAGCAGGATCCACCCTAAACCTGGAGCCTCCCTATTCCCAGCAGGATCTACCCTAATCCCTGAGCAGGGTCACCTTTCAACCCAAAATGCCATGCTTCATTCCTACTTGGCTGTGGCTCTCAGCACTAAGCCACAACCCCAGCATCATGAAAATACTTTAAGAGTATTTTTTAAAGATTAGTAAAGAAAAAAAAAAAAAGAAGAAGAAGAAGAAAGTTTATTTATTTATTTTTGGTGCTAGGGATTGAACCCAGGACATCAAATATATTGAATAGGCGCTCTACCACTGTATATCCATGGCCTGCAAAAATGTATTTCTAAAAATAGATAAATGAAACTCTCTACCTTGAGATAGAAAAGAAAGGCTTTTTAGAAATATATATATATATTTTTAGGCATTGATGGACCTTTATTTATATGTGGTGCTGAGAATCAAACCCAGTGCCTCACACACGCTAGGCAAGTACTCTATCACTGAACTGTACTCCCAGCCCCAAGAAAGGCTTTTTATAAAATTCCTTATAAATAAACATAAAAGCAAAAAGAAAGGAAACTCGTTTTAGGATAGAATATATTGCAATACAACACTAAATAAGAAGATACTTTTGCTTAATGAAAGAGATATAAATAGTGTTCAGAATGCAGAAAAAAAAAAGTGAATATATTTAAAACTGTCATTTCCTTCAGTAGCAGAAGTTTAGCATGCCAGGTATAGAAATAGAAGTTTGTGTTTTATTTACTCTGGATGCCATTTGATTCACTCTCCTTTTATGAAAATTTCACTCAATTCTGTTATGTTATTTTTCTTCTGTACTGAGAGCACAAAATTGAGTTCTGCATGATAATCAAAGATGAATATGATTTGATTTCTGCTATTAGAGGCTTTATAAACCAGTGGGGAAAAATGATATAAAGTAGGGAGTAGATGGAAGAGATGTTGGCTTGAACCATTACAAGTGAGGATATATAGAAGTGCTTAAAAGAATAAACAGTATTTAACCTGGACCTTAAAAAGAGTAAGGATCAATATAATTTAAAAATTACAAATGGATGGGTAATATGGAAATTAATAATACAAGTGTATGTATTTGACTGAGTCTGTTCCTGCTGCTATAACACAATACCGTAGACTAAGTAATTTAGAATAATAGAAATTTGCTTCTCATAGTTAAAGAGACTAGGAAGTCCAAGATCAAGGCACTAGCAGATGTAGTGTCAGGCGAGGGCTTGCTCTTTGCTCCCAGACCTTGTTGCTATATCCTTACATGATACAAGGAGCAAGAGATGGAAAAGTCAGGTAGCTCTCTAAAGCCTCTTTTATGAGGGCATTAATTAAAGGCCCTACCTCCTAATATCACCACAGTGGGGGGGGGGGGTTAAGTCACAACATGAATTTTGGAGTGACGTAAACATTCAAACCAAAGCATTGTGCATGGGTGTATGTTTGTATATTTTTCAAACTCTGTCCACTAATTTGAGCAATAAGTTGTAGAAGCAGTGACATATATCATGAAAGCAGTGAGCACACTTCCTGCTCTGATATTGATTTCTAAATACCATTCTCCAATAAAGGAATTGAAGCTTCTTAGAGAAATTGAGGACTGTGATTAGGAGAGTAATACAAAAAACTAAGGAAATGCTTAAAGAATGATGGGGATGTGACAAAAAGATCTCAGAAGCCAGCTTGAATGGCCCCTCACTAGCTAAAAAGTTGTGCATCATAACAAATAGTGATAGATTATAACCCACTGACTAAAATAAGAATGTAAGATCCCATACTGACATAAATCAGTGATTAAATTAAATAGGTAAGGGGGAAATTTCCCTCCCCCATGGCAGTGCTAATACCCAACAAAGTGAGCTTTTTAGAATTTGTATTGAATAACTGCCCTGTATGTACTTTTTTTTTCTTTTTCTTTCTTTTTTTTTTTATTATTGGTTGTTCAAAACATTACAAAGCTCTTGGCATATCATATTTCATACATTTGATTCAAGTGGGTTGTGAACTCCCATTTTTTCCCCACAGATTGCAGAATCACATTGGTTACACATCCATGTTTTTACATACAGCCATACTAGTGTCTATTGTATTCTGCTGCCTTTCCTATCCTCTACTATCCCCTTTCCCCTCCCCTCCCCTCCCATCTTCTCTCTCTACCCCATCTACTGTAATTCATTTCTCTCCCTTGTTTTTTTTTTTCCCTTTCCCCTCACAACCTCTTATATGTAATTTTGTATGACAATGAGGGTCTCCTTCCATTTCCACGCAATTTCCCTTCTCTCTCCCTTTCCCTCCCACCTCTCGTCTCTGTTTAATGTTAATCTTTTTCTCATGCTCTTCCTCCCTGCTCTGTTCTTAGTTGCTCTCCTTATATCAAAGAAGACATTTGGCATTTGTTTTTTAGGGATTGGCTAGCTTCACTTAGCATAATCTGCTCTAATGCCATCCATTTCCCTGAAAATGTCATGATTTTGTCATTTTTTAGTGCTGAGTAATACTCCATTGTGTATAAATGCCACATTTTTTTTTATCCATTCATCTATTGAAGGGCATCTGGGTTGGTTCCACAGTCTAACTATTGTGAATTGTGCTGCTATGAACATCGATGTGGCAGTATCCCTGTAGTACGCTCTTTTAGGGTCTTCAGGGAATAGTCTGAGAAGGGCAATAGCTGGGTCAAATGGTGGTTCCATTCCCAGCTTTCCCAGGAATCTCCATACTGCTTTCCAAATTGGCTGCACCAATTTGAAGTCCCACCAGCAATGTACAAGAGTACCCTTTTCCCCACATCCTTGCCAGCACTTGTTGTTGTTTGACTTCATAATGGCTGCCAATCTTACTGGAGTGAGATGGTATCTTAGGGTGGTTTTGATTTGCATTTCTCTGACTGCTAGAGATGGTGAGCATTTTTTCATGTACTTGTTGAAAATGTAAAAAAAAATGTCAAAATCATCTGGACATGGTGGCGTATGCCTGTGATCCCAGCAGCCTGGGAGGCTGAGGCAGGAGGATCACAAGTTCAAAGCCAGTCTCAGCAACTTAGCAAGGTCCTATCTCAAAATTAGAAAAGGGGGTGCTGCTGGAGATATGGCTCAGAGATTAAGTGCCCCTGGGTTCAATTCCTGGTACCAAAAAAAAAAAAAAAAGGTTATGAATAGTAAGAACCACAGAGAATATAACTGATGCAGATTCAAAAGTATTAAAGAAGCATGACACCTAAATACGATGCTTGAAGGCAGTCTGAATCCTGGACCTGCCTCCCCCCACCCCCAAAAAAGTTTTGTTTTTTCTTTTGCTATAAAAGACATTATTAGGGTAGCTGGAAAATTTCTTATAAGATCTATAGATTAGGGGCTGGGGTTGTAGCCCCTTGGTAGAGTGCTTGCCTCACATGTTTGATCCTCAGTACCACATAAAAATAAATTAATAAAATAAAGATATTGTACCCATCTACAACTAGAAATATTTTTTAAAAAATCTGTAGATTAGGTTAATGGTATTGTGTCCATGTTAGCTCTCTGATTTGATTGTTTTACTATGTTATGCAAGAAAATGTTAAAACGGCTTTCTAGGAAATATACATTGAAATATTTAGGGGTAAAAAGCTTACTGACTGCAATTTACTCTAAAACAGTGTAGGGAAAATGTAATATGTATGTAAATGTAAATAAATAGATACATTCATAGATAGGAGATGGGATGATAAAGAGGATGTCGTAAAATGGGGAGTCTGGGTGAAGAGTAGGTAGACACTCTTGGTACACTTATGATGTTTCTGAGAGTTTTAAATTATTTAAAAATAAAAAGTTAATGATATATAAAAGTGGCTGGGTTTCACTGGGTTGAATTAGATGGAGTTTGGCAGGGGGAACATTCATGGTGAACACTCTTAATAGAGGAAAAATTTGAGCCAGAACATAGAGTTGGAAAATCCAAAGTATTGTTGACTGGTGAGTTGTCCATTTATATAGGTAAAGCAGTCAATTAAAAATGCGAAAAATAGAGATCAAAACCACAATAGTGAATGTAAAAACATAAGTTGGTAGAGTGCATCCTGGGTTCAATCCCAATGTACCAAAAATATTAAGTTGCTAAAAGTGCACATAGTAAAGGATAGCATATATGTAAAAATTTTAAATGCCACATTTTATAGATAAACACATATATTGTATAAAGTCATAAATGTGGAAGAATTCACCCTGATTTTCTGATGATAGTTGCTTATGGGATATTTAGGATGAATATGATTTTAGAAAGTCCAGTGATATCAGATGAAGAATGTAGAGTTTATCCCACTTCAGTGAGAATTTCCCCCAGGCAAATAACATGTCATGAATGTTTGAAATTGGCTAATTGCAGACTAGCAATGTAGTTCAACAGTAAAACACTTGCCTAATGTGCTCAAGGCCTGGGTTCAATCCCTAGTCCCCCCGCACCCACCCGCAAAAAAAAAAGACCATCTGAGCTGTGTGTTTAAAAAAGATCCTATTAATTAAGTCTTTTTATAGACGATTTTCAGAAAAGAAATCATGATTTCAATACAGATATAAAACTCTGTAACACATTTTAAAGATTTTGTTTAATTTATGAGGGAGCCAGACAGATGTTAACACTATTTTAAAAAAGAACCCAAAGACATATTTATAGATCAAGAATATCAAAATGAACATGTAAATGAGACAAAACTGGTTTTCCTCCCTTTAGAGTGGGAAAGAAGACAATTGAATTTCTTCCAGACAAAACAGAAATTGCATAAACGTAAGAATAAGCTCACATTATTATCAGTTACCTATTATCAAGTTGTAAAATAGCTCATGGACATAGCTAGAATCTGACAATCCAGAGGGTCTTTTATACATATGCTTTTTATAATTTATATTTGTTTAGAATCCTTTTGATGGAATTTCCTCAAGTTGAGTAATTTTGAGGATTTGAGGGAAATGATCACATCCTTTAAAATTCAATACATAAATATAAAGCAATCCTTAGATGTCAAGTTTCATGGGATAGGAAAATTAAATTATTTTGTCTTGAAAGTTGAATGTCTTCATGTTGTAAAATTTGTGTAACTGTTCCACTTTTAGGAAATATTGTTAATGCAGATCTTGGATAATTGGTTTTTATTAGTAAAGATGTAGGGGAACCAGACTAGGAGCTTCAAATTATTGGCTTGACATTAACCATAATTCCTCTTGATGGGGAGAGTTAAGTGGAAATAAAGGACCCTTGATTTAGTTATTCACTTCAAAAGTCTCTCTATACAACTTTAATTTTATGTATCTAAGCTGAAGAAATAGTCTAATGGAAACTAGATGTGGAGACAGTCTATCAAGTAATTAAAAGATATTATTGTTAACAATCTAGAGATCAGATTTACCTGTAGCAAAAAGATAGCTTAATTGGGCCTTAAGCTCTCTCTTCTCTACTCATTAGCCTTTCTAGGGCTGGGGGTATAGCTTAGTGGTAAAGTGGTAGCCTAGCATGTGCAAGGCCCTGGGTTTGATCCCCAGCATTAAACAACAAAAACCAAAATGTTTCTCATTTGGAGAAATATTACCATTAAAAAAAATTATTTCTTTGGTCTGTTTCCAGAGCCTTGTCTATCAGTTTCTTTTCTCTCATGGCTAGGCTAAACTTGGGGATCCACACTAACCATTTCATTTAGTTTTAGAGTATGTAGTTAATTCTAGATCTAATCTAACTTTTTTCCATATGAAAGTTAATTACTGGATTTTTTTCCCAGAACTTACAGATGCGCAATAGGGGGCAGCAACTCCCTGTGTAGGGATATATGAAATTAAATGATTATGTGGAGAATTTATGTTAATATTTTGTGTTCTGTCCCTCCTGAAACCTCCACTTCCAACTCTCTTAATGTTCCTTTTATCTAGTTTGTATCCATGAGTTCCTGTGATAATGAGAGAAAGCTCAAGGCCGGATATACTGGCAATCAAGTTTAAATTCCTGTTCAACAACAGTATTTCAATTTCCTGGTTGAAATGATTACATGAGATATATTTTTTGAACCAACCAGAAAGCAAAGAACATTTTAATTTGACCAAGGTCTGACTTTTGAGTTTTGCTTACATTAAAACTTGTCTGGAAATAGCAGTGTTTAAATACAGTTTACCACATCATTTATTTTTCATTCTTATAAAGCCTTTTGGAGGTGTGTCCAAAGACCTTTTACAGATGGAAAAGCATCTGGCCCTTTAAGTTTGGGGTGTTATTTCTGAGAACTAGAAGATATATACTAGTGACATTCCTGTTACTTCACTTAATAAATCCTGTTTTATGTAGGTATACGGAAAGAACTATTCTTTCATTCTTTTTTTAAAATATTTTTTTAATTGTCAATGGACTTTATTTTATTTTATTTTTTTATTTGTGGTGTTGAGAATTGAACCCAGTGCCCCACACATGCTAGGCAAGCGCTCTACCACTGAGCCACAACCCCACGCCCATTCTTTCCTTCTTAAATTCCAGTTGCCTACTCTGTCTTTTTGGATTTGTGGGGGTTTTTTTGTTTTGTTTTTTAATTTGTGGGTTTTGATTGTTTTGGAAAGTGCCATTTGAGCAATTTGTTATTTTATTTCTCTTTCTGGTAAATATTATTTGATCACTTATTTTATTGAGTTCTGAAATTTGGATGGTAGTTTGTATTCTGCATTCTGTTTTTAATGCCCTAGAGTATATCCTTGAGGTTTTGATCATATTTTCCATGTTCACTGTGATAATACTGACTTGCCTTAATGCTTTCTTCTTTTTCTCTGTAGGCACCAGAATTTCCTGAGTTTGCCACTAAAGTCCAGGAAGCTATCAATTCTCTAGGTGGCAGTGTCTTTCCTAAGCTTAACTGGAGTGCCCCAAGGGTAGGAACACATAAGTAAATCTCTTATTGCTTGAATAGTCTTTGCTTTACTATTTATTTCATTTTATATCCTCAAAGAGAGACTAATTATATTCCTAATTTTAGGGAAAATAGTGTGGAATTTATTTATTATTTTTACCCTGTTCCTGGGTTTGTGATATACTTTATTTTCTGTCAAAAGACAGTTTTGACCTCTTAAGTTGCTGCTTATTCTAGAATTCTGAGGAAGTTCATTCTTTGCCCTTTTAAAAACTTCAGCTATTTAACAGAGAAAGTTTTGTTCATTGTAAAGTAATAATCAGAATGCTACAAGATGTAGAAATAGAGTGGTTTGAAAAATCAACTTGTATTTTCTTATATTTACACTTTATTAAAAAGATTTTTGTAGAAGTTAAGACCCGTGGAAAAATACTCTTTTTTTTAATCCATTAGAAAATAATTTTATGTCATTAAAGCTCATTTAAGAAATTAAAGACTTAACTTGCATTTTCAAAAATCATCTCATGTATCTTTCTCTTTTAAAATGAGTGATGTACTTAATCTAACTTTTATTTTTACTTTATAATTAGTTATATGTGTACACAGTTTAAAATTTTTAAGTAGATACAGAATCTTGCCACAAATAGCAGCAGGTCCTACACCTGTTTTACTTTGTTTCCTCTTCCTTGGAGCAGCCACTTTCAAATATTTTAGTACATTTGTTACTTACCTCTCTTTCCTGACTTTTCAGTTTTAGATATTTATTATTGGCTTCCTACTTGGAAGACTCAGCTCTTTCATCTCCTATCCCCTTTACTTCCTATTTCATATGCTCCTTACAGTTATATCTGATTTTGGTTAGGTCAGCATTCAGTGTTTTTATTTACTATGGTTATGCAAAAAACACATACACATCTGGTATATACTATACTATGATTACTTATGTTTTCTTATTCAATATTTTATCTTCCCTGGAGTTGATAATTGCCTTGTTTATTCAGCTGCACAATTTGCTGTGTATATACTTGTTTCAGTGGAGTTAAAGTGCGTTCAATATTCTATTTTTAGTCAGAAGTTTATCATCTTTTTCATTGGGAGAAATTTTTAAAAAGTTACTTATTGACTGGGTGCAGTGGTGGCACACGTCTGTAATCCCAGAAACTTGGGAAGCGGAGGCAGGAGGACTGTAAGTTCAAAGCCAGTCTCAGCAACTTAGCAAGATGCTAAAAAATAAAAAAGTCTAGGGATGTGACTCTGTGGGAAAGGCCCTCTGGGTTCAATCTCTAGTACCCACCCCCACCCCGCGACAAAAAAGTTATTGTAAAGAAGTTATAATATCGTATATTACAATATACAAAATTATTAAACTCATTTGTAGTTCTCACAGTCAATTTTTCATTTGTACAGCAATATTTTTAATCATTTTTTCCCCACTAAATTGAATTTGGACTTTCCACTTAAGATGGGAAAATTATTTGTGGTTGTTATTTATTTTTTTCTTTTTGTTGTTGTTGTTTATTTTCTTCTACATACCAGTGCTTTCTTACATGTAGTAGAATAGCTTTTTAGTTTTTTGCGATCATTTGTTTCTCAAAAGTATACAGTGCTCCTACTTCTATCTATAAGAAAGGAGTGTTTTTTAAATTACTCAATTATAATATTACCGTTTAGGCATGTTCCACTAAGCTGTGTGCCTGCTCTTCTTCCTTTTTTTTATTCTTGAAGAGTAGCTGGTCAGGCTGTTTCTTTACCATGTTACTCTTTCAGCTGAAGTGTGCTTCTGACATTTCATTTCCCCCTTCTTCCATCATCAGCAAGAAAAGCATTGGAAAGTGCCTGGGCCCCAAGAGGAAATGTGGGGACCACACCAGCTCAGTGATTGTAACTGAGGGTCTGTCCTGCAATGGTCATGCTCTTCCTTGTAAAGGAGTATAATTTGACATTTGACAATATTGCTAAGATCTACTAGACTTTTTTACTACAGCAAGTAACATGGAATTGTACTAAATCACATGTGCTTTATTATTTAGGATGCGTACTGGATAGCAATGAATAGTTCTCTGAAGTGTAAAACCCTCAGTGACATCTTTCTACTTTTCAAGAGTTCTGATTTCATCACTCGTGACTTCACTCAACCGTAAGCATCTCTTTCCCTCAGTATCAGTTATTTCAGTATTTATGCTGATTTTTCTATTGGTAGAACTCCATTAGTTCTAGTACTGCTATAAACAACAGTTTTATATTTCAAAGTCTTTTATGTTCCCAAAACTACCTATCAAAACATACCTTTCTTTTCCTTTTACGGTAAAGACTTATATAGTGGATTTTCCTAAATATAAAGAACTTTCTGTGTATTTGCACATTAAATATTTTAGTACTCTTTTTTTTCCTTGTATAAAACTGATGTTTATCATAGAAAAGCAAAATTAGAAACTGTAGCTAAACAAAAACAGAAAATATAAAAACACTTATGAGGGGCTGGGGTAAGATAGATAGGAAGAGAAACTTAGAAAAATAACTGCCACTTGATGATAGAATAAAAGCACAAACAGCAACTACGGTGTTCTGTATACCTATGATGTTCTGTATACTACAGCGGTAGAGCATTCGCCTAGCACATGTGAGGCCCTGGGTTTGATCCTCAACACCACATAAAAATAAATCAATAAAGATATTGAGTCCAACTACAATTAAAAAATAAATATTAAAAAAAGCACTTAGAATCATTATAATTGGCTCTATATACTTCCAGAGTTTTGTCTATGCATTTATTTATATATAATATTATATATATAAATTTATACATATATAAATTTATTATATGTATAAATTTTTCAAATGGTATCCTATAATTTGTATTGCTTAGTAGGCTAAATTTGCACTTACCAGCATATAGTGACATCTTTGCATGTCTTTAAATACTTAATTCTTCATGACTTTTTATTACCTTAATGATATGTCCCTGAATACCAATGGCGTGATGTGTTTGACCAATCCTTTTCTTCTAAAAAGTTCTGCAGTGGGGCTGGGGATATAGAGCTGTTGGTAGAGTGCTTACTTCGCATGCATAAGGCCCTGAGTTCAATCCCCAGCACCATCAAAAAAAAAAAAAAGTTCTGCAGTGAATATTCTGAAGTTAAATCTTTGGGTGCTTCTCTAATTTTTTCCTTAGTATAAATTTCAAAAGTGGAATTGCAGTTTTCCTTTCTTTGCCAGTCACTCTATAGTTAAAGAACTTGACCTTGCATGATCTGCATCATAGTTATACAGAACACCTGCACTATTGAGTTGTAAGTTGCTTTTATTCTATCATCAAGTGGTAGTTATTTTTCTAAGTTTCTCTTCCTATCTATCTTACACCAGTTATCTCAAACTTCTTTAAACTGGCCTTTAAAATAAAAGATATCTTAAAATCTAGACGCTAAGCAGGAGAACAAAGGTAAAAAATATTGTATATCTGTGCTACTTCTTTCCTACCCGTTCATTCGAGTTTTCCATAATAGTTTACCCCAATTCACATCCTTTTCTGAAAAGGAACTTGGCCTGAATAAATAACTTTGCTTCGTGAACTTTGTTGAATCCGAGTTTTGTAGCTTGGGCATGTAATTATAGTAATATATTAATTAGAGAAAACAAAGTTATGTAACTGTTAATGGGCATGGTTGTCTTGCATACTTATTAAAAAGGATTTTAGGAGCTGGGGGTGTAGCTCAGTAATAATGTGTTAGCATGTGTGAGACCCTGGGTTCAGTCCTCAGCACAGGGTAGGGTTCTTCTTCCAGCCTTCTTCCAGCTGGAAGAAGCAGGCTTTTACCTGCATTGGTATTTCTGGCTTTAAGAATAAAGCATACACACACACACACACATTTGGCACCAGAGATTGAACTCAGGGGCACTTAACCGTTGAGCCACATCCCCAGCCCTTTTTTGTATTTTATTTAGAGACAGGGTCTCACTGAGTTGTTTAGGGCCTCACTAAGTTGCTGAGGCTGGCTTTGAACTCATGATCCTCCTGCCTCAGCTTCTCAAGCCACTGAGATTATAGGCGTGTGCCACCATGCCCAGCCCTGTATTATTTTGACATTTAGTTGTCAGCCTTTTATGGCTGTGTTGGTGCAGATGCTATTAGGAGTTGGTAGTCCTTGTTTACTAATAATTAGTAGCCTTTTCATTTTAGGAGATGCCCTCTGATTAAAAGAAAGTCATGTCTTTCCATTGTAAAGCTTTCTGACAGCCAATGCTTTAAGAGGCCCTGAAATATATTACATTAAAATTACTCTACACTGTTAATTAATCTGGTATGGACTTGTATATACCTTTAGTACTGGTTGTAGCTAGAGTGTGAGAGCCCCTTGCCTTTCCAGAAACCATTATAAATCACTTCTGTTCTGAGGCTGATTGTTTTCTAACTCAGCTTTATAATTTAGAGATCCACTATTTCCACTTAGTCCACTTCTTCCTTTTTGTCTTAATTTGACTGATGTTCCCGTGAATGGTATCCATGAGTTGATTCGCATTTTGTGTTTTTTGACTTTTGTATGGGGAGGAAGTTAGGTCAGCAAGTGAATTTGAGGCCTTGGATTTAGAGTGTTCACCCAGAAAAGGCCATTCTTCTCCGAGTGTAAATAGTTGGGAGTTGGCAGGAACAACTACTGAGCACTGACCTTTTAGACTTTTAGGTGGGTACCACTAATGTGTCACCCTTTTCTAGAAATATTTGTTGGTAGTCAGTTGCATAGCAATTAATAAGCCAGTAGCATAGTAGTAAAAGTTATCATCATATTAAGATTCCTTATTGATAGAACTCATTGAAGATGCACTTTGGGAGCTGAGGCTATAGCTCAGTGGTAGAGTACCTGCTTAGCATGCACAAAGCCCTCGGTTCAATCTCTAGCACTGCAAAAATTTAAAAAAGAAGAACTTTTGACATAAGGCCTTGTCAGAAAGCTCTTAAAAGATTAAAACTCTTAATGTAGTCCGGTTGGTAGAGTGCTTGCCTAGCATATATGAGGAGGCCTTGGGTTCAATTCCCAGCACCACACACACACACAAAAAAAGTGTAATTCTTTAGATCAGATAGAGTTATCTGTGACTTAATCTAACCCTTTTCTTATACAGATTAGAAAACTGAGGATTAAATGTGTCAGTAATTGGCCCAAGGTCCCACAACTGATTTCTTCCACCAAAACCAAAATATAATTTCAATAATCTAATTCTAAAAGTTCTTTGTACTTTCAGTTAATTTACAGATTATTTTCAAAGTGCTTACAATTAAAATACAGAATACAGTATAACTGAATATTATAATATACATATATATGTATATTATACATATATATATATATATATATATACACACATACTATGTATAATATCATATAGTATTACAAAAATAAAATTATTTTGTTTATACTATTTTGAAACTTACCTTAACTAAAAACAAAGATGTGGTCAGGATTGCAAGATAACAAAAGGCCAGCTGAAGATAGCTTATACATATGGGGTTTAAAAGAATATATTATTTGGCCAGAAGTGTGTGTGGTTCAGTAGTAGAGTGCTTGTTTAGCATGCATAAAGCTCTGAGTCCAATAGCCAGCACTGTAAAAAATAAAAATAAATAAATCTGGATAATTAAAAAATATATTATTTACCAAGAAACTTGGAGACTCTGTATTTTTAGAGTTAATTCAGCAGCCCACTAAGGTCACCAGGAAAAGACTTTCAGACTTTCCTCTCTGCCATCCCTGGCTTATTGGCTTGGTGTTTAGGGTTTCACCTGTTGGTCACAAGATTGCTGTCTAAGTTGCAAATATCTATCACATGAAGACATGACAATGTCCATACAAAAAATAGGAAAGATAGGTGTATCTCCTCTGATTAATTTCCTATATGAACAAGTAAAGCACTCCTGGAAGCTTCCCAGGAGACTTCTCTCAGACATCACTGGCCACACAGTTACTTAGCCTAATCAAAGAATTGGCAACAGAAACAGAATGCATGACCATTTAGATGAGGGGTTTTCAAATGTTAGAATGCATCAGAGTCATCAGGAGAGTTTGCCAAAGCACTGATTTCTGGGACCCATTCCTGGAGTTTCTGTTTCAGTACTCCTGGGGTGGGGCCCAGCCATATTATTTCTAATTTGTTCCTGAGTAACATTGATGCTGCTGGTCCAGGTTCATGCCTTAAGGTCTGCTTAGATCAACACATGCATCCCTGGGGTTAGGGAGGTATGTTAGCATAACTGTAACAAAATATCTGAGATAAACAGTTTATAAGGAGGAAAAGTTTACTTTGGCTTCTAGTTTCATTCCATGATTTGTTGGCTGTTTATTTTGGGCTTGTGGCAGCATGGTACACAATGGTAGGAGCACATGGTTGAGGATGCTTGTTCTTATAATGGCAGCCAGGAAACAAAAGAGAAAGGCAGAAAAGAACCAGGATCCTAGTATCCCCTTCAATGGCAAATCCCCAGTGACCTAACTTCCTTCCAGTAGGCCCCATTTACTGAAGGATTCCCCGCCTTCCAGTAACATCATGGACTGGGAACCAAGCCTTTACTACATGGGATTTTTGGGGGACTAGACCATACCAAGAGGTGATCAGGAAGCACAAGTGTTTCCAGTGTCTGGACAATTCACATTCTGTAAGCAAGGTTGGTAATGGGGAACAGCTAGAAAGGGCCAATCATCAGTGTCTGCCAAACTGTAATTTGCTGTAAAATATTAAGTAAGTACAGTTTCATTTTTCCTGTTCCTCAAATTGTTACTCTAGACAAAAAAAAGTAGAGATTTAAATATAACACATATAACATAATCAATCTACATTATCTTTGCTGACTATATTCTTTGTCCAAGTATAAACATTATATTTGATTAAACTGATTGAATCACAAGGCTGCTTTCGACAATTATTTTATTGATTATGTGTCACTTTAGTAAGCCAAAGTAAGGAAAAAACCAAAAAACTGTTATTCCTTTGTCATTTAGAAGAAAAAGCTGAGTGGGTGAAAAACTAAATCCATTCATTGTTTCTGTGATAGTCTCATGACTGAGGAAAAATAGAATTGACCAGAGATCAGGGAATTTCATTTGTCTTAGTAATTTAAACTCAGTTATACTCAATGCAATTTTTAGA